ATGTGTGTATAATAGTAAAAATGATCAAATTTTGTTTGAGGATGATTTTTGGTTACAATTTAAAACTAGTAGGTAAAATTCTTAATACTTTTTAAAGAAATCGGAGGAAAAAAAACTAGATAACAAGGAAATATTTACGCAAAGGTAAACAGGGTATTAGGTTAATTATTACTTGTTAGTAGGTACTTTTAATAATAAAAAATGTGTAAATTCGTAATAATATTATGCAATTGTCTGTTTTTGTAGACCTAAATGTCGTAGTTATATAGTCGATAGGTTATTATGGAGAGGGAGTTGGGAATTTCCAGTTATTAATAAAATAGAAAAATGATAATTATTGACAAGCCTCACGGGTCATGAAGACGTTGTTTATGTGTATAATATATTAATATGAGTAGGTATTGTATATCTATATTTATTAACTTAAAGTAGGTATCTATATGTAAAATTTATAAGCGAATCATGTAAAACCATAAACTAAAACAAGGGTAGGTACTAGGTACTACTGGTACTAGTAATTAACCATAATATCTTAATTCTAATCAGTGGCGGTACCAGGATTATTTTCTAATTAGGGCCAATGTGAGCCCAACAATTATAAGGTAGGCCGTAGGGCCACAAAAAAAGAGATTTAAGCAAAAAATTATAAAATATATTTAAAAAAGTATGTAATTTGAAAAACAATATTTTATAATTTTTAAAATTGATAAAAATATACATAATATTATAATATAAAAGTATATTACCTAATCTAAATTACTTATAGACTGTACAGTGAACTACAAAATACAAATACCATTATATTCTGCTTATGAAAAATGAGAATATTGGTATGTCTAATGTTAAGCCAATAGTAGGGCCATGGCCCTACCTGGCTCGTCCTTGGCGCTGCCACTGATTCTAATAATTTAAAATGATCATATACAATAGGTACTTATGAATGTTATGAATTATGATACATAACCACAACGATTTATGGTCATTCGGTATATCCTACGTAGGAAGTGGATATTACACATAACGTATAGACTGCTTAAGGATCATTTATTATTAAATTATTATTAATCATTGTACCATTAGAGATGTCTTCTATAAAAAAATAAAACCGTGCTTTATTGTTTTATATCAATAAAATACATTGGGATACTATTCCCGAAACCATACATTGTATTTATGTGGTATTTAGTGGTTACTGGTTAATATGATACGTTATCAATGATAACTTATCAATTTTTATCAATCTTTATAAACTGACGACCGCAGTACCACACTAACCGTATTCACCACAGCACATTGGTATAACCTGAAAAATTGTATTTTGTTGTTATTTATTATTGAGGATTCCGTGATCCGTCCTGTGTACTTTTTATTATAAACGTCGTTCGCGTTGCAATTTCATCCGCATCCATCCGACTTTAGGTGAGACTAATTATTAATGTATATATCGAATAATAATCTCTATTTAATGTATCATTATATTGTGTCGTTACATATTTATTCATCGACGAACAATTTTACGTAGCAGTCACTCGTACAGTTTTTAGTGTTTATTGATCAGTATTTGTACTTATAATTACAGGTTCTCAACAATGGCTCCTCGTTATGAGCTTGCGGTTGGTTTAAAACGTGGTCACAAGACCACAAAAATCGAGAGGGTCGGTAAAGTCAGTGGTAAAGAGTTGTCGGCCAAAAGCGAAAAGCTTAGACAAGCCCGCACTAAAGGTGTAAGTAACACTTATGTTATAAATTATAATATATATTAAAATAAGTTAGTGTATTAATTTAAAATTACATTAACTTACATAACAATCAATGTAAAATTCTCTTTTATAACTGAGAAATAACACAAACTGAAATTGTGTATTAAACAATGACTATTTTTTTTCAAAAACTATTAGTATCGACTATAATACATTTGTTTAAATCTATCCAATCTGAAAAAATTCCATAATTTTTAATATTTAGTACAAACTCTTTAAGTTCTTAGTACTGCACTCTTAATAAAAAATCTTACATTCTTCAGCAAATTGTTGCTATGATACTAATTGCATAGCTGTATGCATTAGTTATGTTAAAATTCATTAATAATTGATAGCTCCTTGGTAAAAGATCATTTCAAAAAAAATTGTATTAACAAAATGTAGTCGATTAACGTTATGTTATTATTTTTTATCATGAATTCTCTGTGACGATTGAAAAGCTCATCTTTGATGTAGAAATCATACTATTATTCTTAAACATATTTTTCTATTTAATGCCCATACTTTTGAGTTGCTACAACTCATATTTAATCTAATACTTTATTTTAATTTAAAGTTGATTGTTATAATCAACACATATTTTATTTGACTTTAATATCAAAAGAAAGAAATTTAATATTAAGTTGCAATACAAATGTTAACTTTCTATATCCAAAGTAGGATATAATTTTGTTTCAATTGTTAACTTTTATAATCATATTATTTGATTGAAAATTAAGACTTTGTTTTTAAATATATTTTTATTTTTATAGCGTTTAACTAAGCACAACAAATTCATCAGAGATGTTGTTAGGGAAGTTATGGGTCATGCACCATTTGAGAAGAGAGCTATGGAATTGTTGAAGGTATCCAAAGACAAGCGTGCATTGAAATTCTTGAAACGACGAGTAAGCATATATTTCTAAATCTATTTACTTGATTTAGTTAATTTTTTTTTTTTAATTACTTGAATATTTTATACTTTTTTTATTTTTAGTTGGGAACACACATTCGAGCCAAGAGGAAGCGTGAAGAACTTAGCAACATTTTATTGCAAATGAGAAAGGCCCAAGCTACCCACACAAAATAATTTCAAAGCTTTATAATGTCTGTTTGATATGTAATAAAATGTTGACTGCTGAGAAATTTGCATTTTTCTTTAATTTATTTTGATTTTAATTGTAGTAATTGCCATATTAACAATTCCAAAAGATAATAATTAATAAAAATTGTGTGCAAAAAATACATAACTTAAGTAAAGAATCCATCTTTTAGGATAAGTTCCTAATTTAAAAGTTGTAAATTTCAAACTTATACTTAATCAATACTTTTGTACAATAGTTTTTATGTTATTGAGTCTTAATTAAAATTTAATAATATATTGTACAAAAAAAAAATGGTTTTCTTAAAACCCAAAAATTTTCTAAAGAAAAGGGTTGATTGAGTATACAAAAATAGATTGTTTTTGCTTTTGGTATTATGATAGAAATATCAAGTCAACTTTTAAAATGTTTTATGCTGTGTCCAACAAATTTTTTTAGTTATTATGAACTTGCTGTATATAGCATCAAAACTTCCTTAAAGACTTACTAACATTAGCTATTTAATGTAGCCAATGTAGGTACGTTACTCCATTTATTTCCCAAAATACCGATATCGCCCTCTTGGGGCTTGAGATTACAGAACTATCTAAGAAAGGGACAATCGAAGTTTACAAGATTATTTTAAGTCATTGAATAAATAAAAGGCCGTCACTCGATTTTTTTTTTAACTTAAATAAATTATTATATTTTTGTATTTTTAGAATAATTGTGGTTTGTCGACAAAATAACCGGTTGTTATCGCAATAACAGCAACAACATACATGTACATGTTTCTATTTTAAAGTAATCTATATCATCATTATAATAAATATAATAATATCTGAATTCTATTTGTAATTAATATTTAGTTTTAGACTTAGTATATTCGCGGATGCCGACCTTTTTCGTTCATTCGTTGTCGTTTAATGTTCTTATAATTATTGTGTCCACATGTTTTTTACATCATGACTGAATAGAAGAAAATAGTGGGCAGTATAATAGGTACTGAACTATTCGTAGCTTAATTTTATTAAATAATCTACATATTATATTACATAATCGATATGCCTCATTTGCAAAAAGCTTTTATAGATGAAACTATGAAACTATCAAGAGTCAAGACTGCATGAACGTTAAATAAAAGTTCATGCTAATAAAAAATGATTCATTTTAACATCAACTAACTTCTAGCTAAACACCAAATACACCCATCTAATAAGTCATTAAGAATTAAGATACCTAACCTTTATTGTCTTTATTTTATTCGTACGTATTCACTATTCATGCAATATTATAATAATATTTGAAAATCAATTTTTCATTGCTATCTTTTTGATACCAATATTTTTATCTTTAAATGAGAATTTTAGATTTTTTTTTGGTAAGTGGGCGATAAAGATTAAAGATTTGAGAACCACTACTGTATATTTTACATTATAGGTTTTTATAATAAAAAACACGTGTAAAAAATAAATAAATATATTAAAACACTGTAATCACAAAGTAAAATGTGTTTAAAAAGATTTGTAATTCCAAATAATTTGAACAACAAATAAATCTAAATATTTATTAATTAGAAAATGTTAAAATTATTAAACATAAACTACTTATATTTCAAAGTACAATATAAAATTATAAAAATACAAAAATAAGTTTAATAATGGATAAATACTAATAAATAGTTTCACAGCGTAAAATAAATTTAAAATATTAATTACTTTATAAAATCTTATATACATATGTTAGATCTATAGTTTTTATTGAAAGGAATTCGTTTTTAATACTGAAATATCACAATTGATAAACATAAAAATAAATACATATAATTACTTATTACTTATTTCACATAAATAATAATTTGATGATCACATAGTTTACCATTTACGTTAAAATTTCTTCAATTAATTTAAAATGACATTTAAATGCAATCTAATTATAGAAAATAAAATACCTATTTTACATTTATAAATAGTTGGTCCTGTGTTAATCTTAATATGAATAATTTTAATTGACTTAATACATTATATAAATCAATTATTACATACATTTGATTCAAATATATTGCCATGTACCTTGTATATGATTATATTATAAAGTGATGTATAAATATTAACATAGATTAAATCAGACATAAATTTAATTTATGGTACTAGTGACTTTAAAACATTGAATAATTTTCTCTAGTGATGTTAAATACAGTAAATATAATAAAATGATTTATAAATTTATAAATATCAATGTTATATTATATATCGGAGTTGTTTATTAGCAAATTACTAGTATCTAAAGCAGAATCTGGGACTTGGAATGTAGATCCTTGAAATCCAAGTGAAGCTTCAAACATCTACAAATAACAATTTTAAAAAGTTAAATGAATGTAAAAATAGAATATTTGATTTAATAAAATGTTTTAGAAACAGTTATGTTAAGTATCATAATTTCTATAAAAGTAATAGCAATCAAAATAAATAAATCAAATTCAATTTTATTTTACAATTATCAAATGATTATAAGCAAAACTAAAAGTTACTAATTTAAAATAATAAATGTATTTTTGAAATACAATGATCATTTGAGCTCAAATTAAATGAATACTTTTACTCTTTAAGTTTTATTTTAAACTCTGACCATTGAGCCTGACATTTTTACTTTTCATATGAAAATATATATTTAAAAAAAATATAAATGATTGAAAATATATAAAACAAATATAATTTAAACATAGAATAATACCAGTAAAAATTAAAATTAAAATATTAAATTTTGATAATGATATTAATAGTATGACATGGCCAATTTATAATTAGTTTAATTGTATATAAAATTAATTTATTTACTATGATTACACAAATAATATATTGACTAATTTTCTATCAGAAATTCGACCGATGAAGATAAAATAAAACTTGACACTTTGGCACGTTAAAGTTACTTAACAATTTTATTATTAAATAATGACAAATACATAAAGAAAAAACTTAAAGGTCTCAAGGCCTAACACAAAAAGCCAAGAGAAAGATATATATAATGGGTGGATCAAATTAGCCACCATACACTTGCCTTAAACTTGTTAAATTTTGATATCAAAAAATAGGAGGAATGTAATTTATGTAATTATTTTATATACATATGGATGGCCAGTCATAAATGATCACAATCATTGATTGACCAGTCATTTATTTTAATTTTTTGATTAAAGCCATGTTGAACTTAGCAAGCTGAGGACACTTCAGATCATTTTTTGTAATTTAAAAAGAAAATGTACAATTTTAACAACCAATTTAAAAATCAAGATATCATAAAACAATCTTAAATTAACATAAGAATTGGCTATATTGAAGTAAAACATAATAAGGAATAAAAAACCCAATGTTTGTTTGTTGAATTACATTAAGTTAATTGTCAAATGCATACCAGTTTAGACCCAAAACTATAAAAGCGATGAGAAAAATACTGAAAGCCAGTCTGTTTGAATAAGTGTCTATTCTAATTTGATAGAAAACCTCTTTATCCACAAGATAATTAAACTAAATGTAAGTCTTGAATATTTTAATAGCATTAAATATTAATATTTAAATAAATACTTGTTGACTATGAGAAGTGCCTCCATCAGGAGGCAATGGTAAGACAGATCCTCCCAAAGTAGCATATTCACCAGGTGTCATTGTCAATAATGTATTTATAGAGCCACGGCGAGAAGGGCGCCGTATTGTTGCGTATGTATTATCTCCCTAAAATATACAATATTTGTAATGATTAATAACAATATTGAACAAAACAAAAAATTAACTCTAATTTACCACGATATTATCTTGATTTATTGGTATTTCTTTATTTTCTATATCACAAAAAACTTGCATAGTTAATTCTTGTTCTTCATATAACTTTAATTTTCTAAAACAAAAACAAATAAACTGAACTGAAATTTTGCAATTATACATCTTATTTTACTATAACACTTTTTGGTATAAAAACATATAAAGCAATTATGTTCAGTACTACTAAAATATTAATTAAAGCCAAGTAACAAGAAACATTTTATTATTTAGTACACTCTAATAAAAGAGGAAAATAATATTTTTGGCACAATCATTAAAAAATTAAGTATATAAAACTTAATTTAATGACTTTTGAATATAATACATTATCATTACTTTCAAGTTTTCCTGTTTATCAAATCCCTATATTTCTCATTTTTAGTTATAGTATTTAATTAAAAATATAAATTAATATTTATATTCAATATTATCTTACTGTTCAATCCAAAGAGGATTTTCTGTAGTACTGAGATCATCAATCACAGCTTTTTTTATCAGTATATCATTCTTTATTGAATTATTGTCCAATTCCGAAAACATCCTGATGAAATATATACATAAATAAAATAATTAATTAAATAATGTTAAATCTTCAAAATTAATTTACCAATGTCTGAAGCAGCAACAAATTATTAATACACCAATACATCCAACAGTCAATACAACTAATAAAGCTACCAAAGCAGCTATAGTAGGTTCAAATGATTCATTTTGAGTAACCACCAAAGCAGGCTAAAATTAACAAAATATAATTTAAAACATCAACCAATCTTAAATTGCAAAAGCAAATAATAATAATTCTTTTAATTTTATTAAACCTAGTTATACATACCACAACATTTTCAATAGCAAAATTATGATAATAGTCTTTCAAATAGTCATATTTATCATCAATTATAGTTAGAACTTCCCAACTAGACATTATATCATTTCTTGTTGGATCAACTAAGTGCAAATACACATCACTCCAATCAGGTTGAATGTAACCATATTGGTTAACATGATAACGAACATCATCCAATACAACAATCATATTAGTCACATTTGCTAAACTAGAGAGTATTTGTTCTCGACCTTCATTAACTGTTTGTGGAGCACGTGATACTATTAATTTAACTAATTGGTGGGTTTCATACACCCATACCTAAAAAAAATGTCCATATAGAATAGTCAATTTGATTTGATAAATGTAATTATATTACTGTAACTATTGTTGATGCAACTCTATAAGGAGGTGCACTTTCTTTGGCAGCTATTTGTAAGTCAAAACGTCCTTGATTATACTCAGCTAAAAATACAGCTGTAGAAATACGACCCGATTGATCAATTGAAAAAGGGTCTTTTAGTAAAGATGACCATGTCAAATTGTTTAATCCTGGTCTAAATAATTGTGTATTCTCTATATAATATACAACTGTACTGTTTTCTTCATAATCTAGATCAACTGATGTTACTTGAAGTACAATATCTCCAACTTTGGCCATTGTATTTACTCCTGAAAATGAAATATTTAGGATAGTACAAATTTAACTAATTAATTTAGTAATCTTTTAAAGTTTGATTAATATATACTGTTGATTCACAGCAGAAATTATCAAGCATAAATAAATGGATTAATTGCATTTAAATAAATTTATATTATAATGTAATGCAACTTAGTTAATATAAATTTAAAAATTTTAATTTAGAATAACTTTTATTTTTTATTTCTGTTATAGCTTAAATTGTTGTGTCTTTAAAATTTAAAATAACTTAAAAGTTTTGAAATTGAAATAAATTTTAATTTCATAAAAAAATTACAACTTAAAAAAATGGTATTCAAGTAAATGAAGTAACTCAATACCTTTTTAAGAACAATAAGATTGAATCGACTTACCGGCATAATAATGTTTAGATAGAAAAACTGGGGCATTATCGTTTTCATCTGTTACCAAAATTAATACTTTAGCCAAACTATAATCGTCTTCTTCTCCATCCTGTTAAGTAAATAATACAATTAAACACAAGCTTGAGTTAAATCAATTAGAGTAAAATTAGTTTAGACCAGACCCCCCATAAAATAATGATATAGTTACATTTTTTTGTTGATAATCGTTATCATTTGAAGCTTTAACAATAATTTCATATGAACTCTGTTTTTCTCTATCTAATGTATCATTTGCATAAATAGTTCCATCAATACGGTCCACAATAAATGGAACTGATATATTTGATATTAAATAATAATAAATACGTGCATTTTCACCTTGATCTAAATCAGTTGCTTTAATTTGACCTAAGAAATATTTTAAAAATATTACTCACTGTTACTTATAAACAATCAGTTTTTTTCATATCAATGTAAACAAATTACCAATCTTATACTGAGGTCTATTATTTTCTTTTACATAAAATGTATATAATGGTTTATGATTATCTTGTATAGGAAATCGAGGTTTATTATCATTAACATCAATTAAATTGATTGTGAGAAGTTTCAATGATTCGTGCCATGTTGGTGATCCTTGATCTCGTGCAACTAGAACCAACTAAATAAATATATTTTATTATAAATATTGACAATTATATTTTAATTTAAAACAGAAGAGAATATATTATATTTATGATTTATTTTGTACTTGATAAGATGATTTAGTTTCATAATCAAGTAAAATTTGAGTTTTTATCTGTCCTGTTTCAGTATTAATAGTAAATTCATCAGTCTGTTGAGCATTTGAATTTGCAACTTTGAAAAAATAAGTCACCCTGCCATTTTCTCCAAAATCTTTATCTTCAGCACAAACTGTTATAATTGATGTTCCAACACTAACATCCTTAAATTTAAATTTAAATTTTTAAATATTTTTTAACAATTTAAAAATATATATTTTACTTTTAGATAATAAGAGGAACTTACTTCTAGAATAGATAGAGTGGAATTATTAGCGGATGGATGAACAAATACTGGTTGATTTTGATTAACATCTAATACAGTAATGTTAATATTTGCTTGATCCCGAAAAATACCATCAAAAACATCAACTTCAATCAAATAAACGCCTTTTTTACCATTCAAAGACATAGCTGAGTATAAAAATCCAGAATCCTTATCAAGGGTAAATAAATCTAAAATCAATTCATCAAAAATACAATTTTATATATAAATATTATTTATTATATTCCTACAAACCTCTATTTCCTGATATAATAGAGTATTTCAATTTTGAATTCAGATCTTTATCAATGGCTTTCAATTGCATAAGTGGTGTTGTAGGAGTTGAGACAATAATAGACAATGAATAATCTTTTGGGTCAAATTGTGGTGGATTATCATTCACATCAATTAGTTTAATATATAACTGAAAATAAAATAATCAGCATTCACATCATTTATACTTATAAAGTAATTTAGCTTAAGGGTACATCATTAAAAAAAACTTAAGTATGTTTATTTTTTAAATATTATACTACAAAACAATTATTAAAAAAATATTTACCAATACTTCAGCAGTTTTTGTCAAACCAGGCGGAGCTTCATCTTTAGCTTGTATTGTTAACATAAAATCAGATGTTACTTCACGATCAAGAAAACTAGAATCATTAACTTTTACAATTCCTGTGTCTTGATCAATAATGAAACCATATTTATTGCCAATGATGGAGTAACGAACTAATCCAAACAATCCCTTATCAGCATCAGTAGCAATTACAATTGTAACAAAAGTTCCAACTGGTGCATTCTCTTCTATTTCTGCTTTATACTCAGTCTGAAATAGTAGTATATTAATAACAAAATAATATTTTTTTAAATAAACAATCAAACAGTAAATTTATTTTATTATAATATACTAACTAAAAATAAGAAATCACTAAAATTTGAAAGCTATACATAATATTTATTTAAATTTAATTGCTCAGTTATAGATACAAATGTATGTATAAGAACTATGCAAATAAAATAATTAAAAAACTTGTAAGTTATAAATGTTATTGAAAATATAATTGACTATAACAACTTAATATTACATCAACTTTATCGATTTCATAAATTATAGCCTGCATATTATTAATCCATTTATAATCTGAAGTATATTTTAACAATATTGATCAAAAATATTATTTAATATAAAGAATGAAGAAATTATAGTCGAGTACAATTTCAAAATAAATATACAATAGTACCTGATTAAAAACTGGAGTATTGTCATTTATGTTAGTAATTTTTATAAATATAGTAGCAGTTGTTGAAAGTTGGGGATGACCAGTGTCGTAAACAATCAAATTAAGATCAATATTTTCAATAGTTTCAAAATCAATTTTTTCTTTTGTGAATATAACTCCTGAAATTAAAATTTATTATATTATTTTAAATAGTGAAAATTATGACTATATTGATTAATATGATATGTTTATACATTTAAATATATTTTACTTTTATTATTTTGATTTATTACATTACCTGATGTCCGATTTACATCAATAAATGGATTCTCTGGTATAATATCATAATAATCAATTCCTGAGTCATCAGTTGCAATAAATTTTGCAATAACAGTACCAAGTGGTTGTTCTTCTGGACATGATACAGTATAATATGGATTCTCTTTAGTCCAAGGTGGATTAAATACTGGTGGTATATCGTTTATGTCTATTATAGTTACCATAAGTGTTCCTAGAAATATGAAAATTATTTAATAACTATCTTTAATTAGGTATAACAGAGTGATAAACTTAAATAAATAGGTACTTAATAAAATAAGAATATTTTACAAAATATAATATACAACTTTTTAATGTATTTTAATAGTAAGAATTTGAACTTTACTAATAATATTAAATTTTTTTTTATATATTGAATATTTTACATAACTTATAAATTATATTAAATTGAGTAATATTATACATTTATAAATAACCTTTAGACTGTTGAATGTCTGGAGCTGATGTATCAGTAACTACAACTGATAGACTAACAATAGCTGCAATGTTTCTGTCAATGGGTTTGGCTATTATTACATCACCATTAGACGCTCTAATTTTAAACCAATTTTTAATATCTAAATTATTATTCAATTGGTTTCCATTGCTGCTAAACCCAGTGATCTCTGAAGAATCTAATGAGAAATTTAAGGCATTTTCATCACTAGTATCTGGATCATGAGCAATAAGACGATATATAACTGTACCAACAGGAACATCTTCAGACACCTAAATATTATTACAAAATTAAAGTAATTGGACTGTATAACATTAAAAATCCAACAATAACCGTTAAACAGTTATTCAATTTCGTACCTCAGTTCGCTGTATTATCGGAGTGAATTCTGGACTCTTGTTATTTACATTAATTATATTTATGAATACTGTTGTACTTCCAGTTAATGCAGGTGTGCCTTTATCAATTGACAATGTTTTAATGGCATAATTTGAATGTTGATCAAAATCAAGTTTTGATGAAGTATAAATAAGTCCAGTAATAGGGTCAATAGCAAAATGGTTAAAAGAACCCTCTTGTATGTGATACGTAAGATTTGCATTCATATCGAAATCCTCATCTATTGCCTCAACTCTAATAACACTAAAACCAATGGGTTCATTTTCATGAATAGAAACATTATAAGATTCCAATAAAAATTGTGGACTATTATTATTAACATCTAATACAACAATGTTAACAGTTGCTTCATCATTATAAACTCCATCACTTGCCTATATTAAACAAATTATCAATTTTCATTAAGTTACTGTAAATCAAAATAAACATACACAATATACTTACACTTATAATAAGTGTTATATTATTTTTTGATCTTTGAAGTCCATCAGGAGATGAAATAAATATTTCTCCACTACTTTGATCTATTTTAAATAAATGTCTTTCATTTCCAGATATTATTGAATACAAAATTGATGATGATTTATCAGCATCAATAGCCTGTAAACAAATTATTTTGATTAATTATCATTTTAAGTTAAATAATAGTTAATCAAAGTATTATTTTGCAGTGAATATAAAATAAAATACTTTTTGGATGTTATATTATAAAATTATTAATTATTGAATTTTTCAATTTATTTAAATTAATAGGAAAAAAAATGTATAAATAAGTACATTACATTTTGTTCAACTTACTTGAACAATAAGAGGAGGTTCAAATGTTGTTACTCCTTCATCAATGAGACTTGTATAAGAGTGTTGAATAAAAGTTGGTGGATTATCATTACTGTCGGTAACCAAAATCATTATAGTTACTGAATTTGATTGTCCATTACCATTATCATCAGTTGCTATATAAGTTAAATAATAATTTGATTGTGTTTCATAATCTAAACATGGTGGTTTCCCAACATTTGAACAGAGTGCAACAGATATTACACCAGTGGTTTTTTCTACATTAAACCTTAAATTCAGAAAATTAAAAATATAATTTGATTGAAATAAATAGAAAATCAGAAATATTTAATAAAATATTTACTTATCAGCCGAAGGTCCATTTAATGTATAAACAATATTTGGGTTACTATCTCTATCAGTTGCTTTAACTATTCCTATTATGGTTCCAGGCGTAGCTGTTTCATTTACTGTAAGAGTGTAAGCATTGTTGTCAAATTCTGGAGGATTGTCATTAACATCTGTTACTTGAATTGTAAGTGTAGCTGTCGAAGTTAAATCATATTTTTCACTTGGTTCACTTGCTATTACCTATTTTATTGTAAACAACAAAATAAAGTTTACAAATTGTTGTATTAATATTTATTTAATTTATAAATACAACATTTTATTACCAAAACAATAAACTTTCTTTGATTAGGATCTTCATAGTCTAATTTCACATTATTTGCTAATTTTATTCCAACATCTATTGAACCAATAGCTTTGGTTGGTTCTACAACAAACAATTTTGACTCATCGTGTAACCGCAATGAAAATTCTGAATTTGCACCCTAAAGAAAAAACCGTATTTTAATTTTTGAAAGTTTTACAAATATTAAGTAGTTTCTTACTAAATCTAAATCCGTAACACTCATGTTTAAGTTGGGTAAAGGAGTACCAGGAGCTATATTTTCAGGTATTGAGATAAAATAGTCTCGCTTATTAAAGACTGGTGGTTCATCATTAACATCTTGTATAGTTATTGTAATAATTGCAGTGGATGAACTTAATTTGTCATCCAAAGCTGAGCCATTAAAAATTTCTCTAGCCTAAAAATAAAAAAAATTATTAATTTATTTAAAACAATATTAATCATTTAACTAAATAACGTAATATTCATATTATGCATACTTACTCGAACAGTTAATGTAATGATACCATTATTATTAGTTAAAGTTTCTCGGTCTATTGGTTTAGCAGTACTTAAATTACCTGATAGGCCATCTAAAGAAAAATAATCCATAGGATCTGCAAAATAATAATTTTTTATTATTTTAAATGCTAAATTTTAAGTAATATGTTCAAGGTAAAATTAATTCTAGATTAAAAGTATACATTTATTTACTTTGTATTAAGTCATAAACAATACTTCTTGGATCACCTCTATCACCATCTTTTGCATTTACTGTTAAAATATGAGTTCCAACTGATATATCTTCACTAATTACAGTAGTAAGAGATCCATGAAAAACAGGAGGCATGTTTTGAATGTCTTTAACATGTATATCTAAATTTATTTTGGTTTCATGTACACCATCCTAAAAATTATAATATGTATTATAAAGAAATATTAAAATTTTAAATTAAGCAACACAAAAATAATTACAATATCAGCTAATATATCATTTTACTTTATTATTAATTCAAACAATTGTTTATAATTATGTCCGTATATTATAATTCTTTAAAATATATTTAACTAAGAAATAGTATAATAAAGTATTATTATAATTAAAGAGATAAAAATGTCATTATGTATCATAAAAAAATTCAAAATTGTAATTTTTATAGCTCAAATAACAAAAGTTGTATGCATTTTATGTTTTAGTTATTACTTACGCTAGCAATTAAAAACAGTTTGTAAAACTGAGTTTCTGAATATTGTATATCTCCATTTACAACTAAAACTCCCAAATAGTAACTTTCACTAACATTCAATGGTTGTATTTTGAATTTTGAACATCCATCATCATTCTGAAAATTATATTGCGTGTTAATAATTTTCATTTAAATTATCAATAAGTGAATATTTTTATTCAAACATGCAATGCAATTTTGACATTATAAAATAGTATCTAAAATTGCATGCCAAAATTATATCATGCAGCATAAGAATTTAATTATATTACAAAAACAAAAATGTACAGAATCACTTAATATTATAAATTATTTGTCAAGTTGATGCAATTTGTTAACATAATGGAAATTGTAACTGTAGTTAGGATGACAATGTTGGAATGCATTATAGATATACACAGCACTTAATAATAAAAAAGTTGATGCTTAATGTACAAAAGTAATTTATCGTTGCAAACTGGTTGGAACAGTCTTATTTAATATGATGTGATTGGTGTCAGAACATAGGTTGCCATACAAATTAAATCAATACAATTGCATGTGGTAATCAGAACAATAAAAAGAACAAAATATAACATTATTATTAGTCTTAAAATGATGACAACATCCACAAAAACATAAATTTTTCATACACCTTGGGGAAAATCAAGTGATGATCAGACTTGTTGAACAAACAGTAATATTGACGCATAGAATCAGATATGATGTATTTGCGTTGGCGTCATAGAATAGAGTGTCACCTTGTCTTGCCTTTTCTATAATTGATTAAGGTGAAAATCTGAATCGATTTGTATTATGTACCATATTAGTGGTTAGAAGGAATGAGCACCAGCAGTACAGTACACAGTACACAATATTTGTACTTTATATTTGCGACTGCTGCGAACTGCATCAAAATATATCTTAGTCTATAGTACTATTTGTATCAAGTGTTAATATAATAATTTTTAAATAAATAACCTGGAAAACTGATTCACATCTAACTTCAAGAGGTTCACCAACTTTGTCTACATCTTCAACATGGATCCATTTAAATACAGTAGTACCAATTTGAGATTCTTCATTCACCATACCTTCATAAGGGGTATGTACAAATGTAGGCGCATTATCATTTTCGTCTAATATAATCACAGATATAGGAAGTCGAACAACATCACCAGAGTTTTTTTGTTGCAAAGTTACAGTAAATTTTAATGTATCACTTTCCTATAACACAAAAACAAATATTATTTAAATTCCAGTTATTATTCCCATTATGTAATTAATTATGAATATGTAAGATATGTTACTCTGAATAATTTAAAATAATCTATTAAAAAATCTACCTCGTGATCTAATGGTTTTGCAACAGTAACAACTCCAGTATTAGAATCAACAACCAAATGATCAGTTCCTTCTATACCGTATAATAGATCATTTTCATTTCCAAAAGAATCAACTCCTTCAAGTTTGTAAATAGATTGACCTACTGGAATGTTTTCAGAAAGAGCTTCATTATCCATATACTTATTGAACACTGGTAAATCTATTAAACACATAAAATGAAATTAAATATAATTTATTTAACAGGAGTAAAAAATTTGTATAACAAAAGTTGATCAAAACTTTATAAATATAATAACATGTCTCATAAAATATAATTTGATCTTCAATCAATAAAATAAGAACTTTGAACATTCAGTTTAATCACATAAAATTTTTAATAATATTCCAACATGTAGGAACATATTATTAATTAATAATTATGATCATACTTTAAATGCATTTAAACCCAATTTAAGTAATTTTCATATTTAATATGATAACACGCTTGTCATTTATATAGATATAAATATTGTCATGTTTATATTTTGTATCTATAAAAACATTAAATGAATGTATTATTTTGTTTATTTTCGATTCTATTTAATGTAAAAAATTTTAATTCACAAATTAGTATTACCTATTCATCAAATTGCATGTTATTGAGTATCTACTTATTTAATGACCTATAATATTTTAAGGTTGTATTGTAGGATGAAATAAAATAAAATTTTAATCAGTGATACAGCCAGTTTAAATAATGGATTATTAACTGATTACTTAATTAAATAAACTTAAATTTAACTATACATTTTTTAACGTAAGTGGACGTATAATAAAATTATATATTTGTTTTATTAGGCACAAAATTAAATGTTAAACTAATTTATAAATTATAATATCTAGTCTAAAACTAATACTAACATATAGGTAGATTAATCAACATTCAAAAGTAATTACCATCAGCATAGGAAGAAGAAATAAGTAAAAAAGTCCAAAATATGTAGTTCATTTTAATTTTCAAAAAAACACAGCGTAACAAATCAATATCGATTAAACTTCATCAAGTACACTAAAGTTTGGAACAAAATACATTTTTCGAGCATTTTAAAACCAAACAACTAGACGGAAATTGAATAAAATGAGAACGAGACCCAGTACATTTTCACGTAAATCGAAAACGATTAATTATGTTATGAATAAACACTGCACGACTAGACGTGTGTACTACACCAATGTCCAGTAACGGTTACGGAAGTACATCAAAATAAAACGACGATGTACATTAGGACTTGGGTACATAATAATAATAATAATAATAATTAATAACGAAAGATGATGATGAACAACGAACAGTAATAATAATAATAATAGGTGAAAGAACAGGTTGCAATACACTTTGCTGCACTACGGTGCATACGATGTACACTGTCGAGAGTTGAGATATCGCTAGGCGGCGTCTTATTGGTGACAAGATAGCTGTGTACAGGTGGTTGAACCGTGGCGGGCTTACGAAGATCATTCATAAATTAATAACAGACGACGCAGGCGGCAGGTCGGTCAAAAATTCAAAATAAATTTCGAAGTTTGTAAATAGAATCTAAGTTCTATTTATAATCATCAAGGAGCGTTTAAAAATACCCGTGAGTCGGATGCAAGTTCAAAGTACAGCTCAAGTCCAAAGTACTGGTACGGTATATGGTACGTTCGACCACACGAATCGTTTCGATCGGTTGGGCACACTGCGTTTTTATAATAGCTTTATCAATTCTATGATCGTTCATAAATGTTTTCATCTTTCGTTTATATATTTTAAAATTTTTATTTTTTATTGTTCCTGCCTCCTGGCGTTCCTGTCAAACATTATTATTTATTTTAGAACATATTTGAAATAGAATTATGGATATCGTGTATTTGTGTGACTAACTTGCTTAATAATTCTTGTTGTTATTATTTTATAGAATTGGGTGAATAAGTTGACTATTGTCTGTCGGTCTGTGAATAACTAAGACCTAGATACCTATAATAGGTATATGGCTAATACGAGTAATAGCCAAACTTTCAAAGATTCAAAGTAATTACGATTGCTCACGGCCACTACGACGATCGTCGTCGAAGGTCAAACAGTAAATTTAATTAAATTACAATTATCTTTATTCTACCTACCAACTACAAGTTAGGTACAGCACAATCGCGAACTTTTATCCCGCTTTAATAATACATAAATAAAAAATTTCTTATTAACATTTTCATTTTACAATAATTGATATTGTCGTTCTTAGCTGAACGCTGAGCTATTAGGTACCTATTCAGTCCAACAAAAATATTAACTGTTGTAGACGGCATAGAATGCAGAGCGCCCGAGTAGCAGAGCTAAACGTGGTCGACATGTACATACGTAATTATCGTATAAACTTTTTAATATTATTTATTACTAATGATGTCAATGACTAATTTTTCTTATTATTTTTCATTTTTTTCAATATGACCTAGATCCGGGTTAGATTTACGGGTATAAAATACCAAAAATGTATTAAAGTTTAATTCACTACGAAATCAAATCGGTACCTAATTTTAAAATCAAGATAAACTAATAGGTATTTGATGGTCATATATGAATGTGGTATTTTAAATGTTTTTTTCATTTTTCTTGTTTAACGTTACTTTAGATGACTTTCAACGGTTATTTTTAGTAGCAAGTTAGATTTACATAGTTTGTATTTCTGGGATTCTAAGTTTACTACCTAGTATGTATACAGTGTACGTCTATATATCAATACAAAATCATTGAAAAAAAATACAAAAATGTTTACTCTAGATCAGATTTTACCAAAATAACAACATTTTATCTTTTTGTTGTAGTTCAAAAATTAATGTTTATTCTTACATAATATAAAAATTATAAATATTTTGAATATTTTTGAGCAGATACATTTAAATTGTTGACTATTTTTAATTTTTTTTTTATATTTTATGTATTTTGAATGATGGACATTGTTATGTGTAAAAAAAATTCAGTGTAATGTATATTAATTAAAATAGTTTTATGATATTTATAATGTATGTAATTCAATTTTAAAACCTAGGTATATTATTGTAATAAAACTTAAATTTAACCATAAATTAAAAATATTTTGATTTGAATACGTCTTAATACCATATAGTTTATACTAGATAAAAATAAATGATTATTTTAATTAAATAATAATAATATGATTTGCAAAGACCTTTAAGTAAGTAAGTGTATTACTAGTACGAGCCACAAGGTATACTTTGTGAAACCAAAAAACAATAAACCGCACTATCATTTTTAAAATTTAAAATTGCAATAAATTTTCATTTTTAACTGTGTATTGAGAAACAGAATAGTTTACAAATAATGATAAAAATTGCATTTATTATTATTACTATATTAACATAGAAAGTTAATTGCAGAAATATAGAGAAACACAAATATATTATTTTCTGAATAGTGATCATACCAAAAATTTACTATAATTTTTTTTTTATAGGTAATAAATATTTATGAAATTGATTGTATTAAATTTTTACTTAATTATTAATCTAAAAAAACTATATATTATATTTCGTTATTACTTGATATATTTGAACGAAAATATAATTATGATTTATGTGAATTTGCATATTTTATCTTATTAATTGAATTCAGAATTACCTAGCTCTATATCAATTACATAATGTAAATATTGAAAATCGTAGAGTACCTTAATAATAACTATTAACTATCAAATCAACTATCAAGGCACTCTAAGACCTAAGTGCTCTAAGTAAACCGTATAAGGCAGCACTATCTAGGCACAAAAAGTTAAGTATTGATTTAATATTTTATGGTTTTAGTTGTTTTTATCTATATGTATATTATCTGTACTTATCTGTATTATTCGATGATTAAGAGGTTTATCTCTTATCAAATTCATCACGTGCGAAGTGAAATAATAACAAAAATATTATTTAGTCATTTTAATTTTACTATTTTAATTCAAATTTGTTTTGTCGCTTTGATTGCCTGTCGGACATTTCACATCTCTTTCTTCAAAAAATGAGTGATTGTGAATCTGAATCGTTACTGTCCATTAACTCAGATACGAAAACTCGAAAAAAAGGTATCGTGTATTTGTCGTCGATACCAAAATACATGAACGTAACGAAATTACGTGAGCTATTGGGCCAATATGGTGAAATAGGCAGAGTGTTTCTACAGCCGGCTGCTAATCGTAATACATTATTATTATTATTGAGCCATTTATAAATGGTTATACATTTTTATTGACTTTGTATACTGTTTCAGCGAACCTAAAAAAGAGACCAGCCAAACATTTCACTGAGGGTTGGGTAGAATTCGAGCGGAAAAAGGTCGCTAAACAGGCTGCAGAACTACTGAATGGCAAGCGAATCGATTCCCGAAAGCGAAGTAAATATTTTGACAGTGTGTGGAATTTGAAATATTTGCCTAGGTAAAGAGATAGTTCATAAACGTCATATAATTAAAATATATTTTTAATCATGTTTTTTATCAAAAATAGATGCCCACTATATTATTATCTTTAATAATTATATTTCATTGATCTATAAATTAATGATAACTTTCAGATTCAAATGGGTTCATTTAAACGAACGTTTAGCTTATGAAAAAGCTGTACGTAAACATCGTCTACGAGCCGAAGTATCACAAGTTAAAAGGGAAGCAAATCACTTTTCCTCTAATATTGTTCGAAGTGAAAAGAATAAGACTTATCAACAATCAAATGTCGATATTAATGTTCGGCAAAGGTTGCCAGAGGAAGAATTCTTACAAAACAAAAATAATGTATCAGATATTGAATCAAGGACAGAATTTTTATCAAAGCTTTTTTAATTTTTAATAATTTAATATACATACATACATAATCAATACATGTAAATAAATCTAATTTAACATTTTAATTGATTTTTAATGCTAATCCAGCCAACTTATTTGCCATTAAAAGTGTTGATTCTTTTTTTCTATGTCTATTAGCCATTGAAACAATTCTTCCATTTTGTTGATGGACTTTAATATGTTTTTCTAAACAACTATTGGACTTAAATTCCCAATCACATCCAATTACACTGCATTTGTAAGTTCTTTCTCTATGAATCGATCGAATATGATTTTCCATATACCTAAACTCAGAAAATGATTTGCCACATCCCAACTGTGTACAAGTAAAGCTGGGCATGTGTATTTTGACGTGTTTTTTTAATTGAGACTTAATTAAAAATTGTTCATTACAATGACTACATACATAAGGTTCAGAGTGGTAAGTGGCCATGTGTTGTTGGTAGAATGACCAACTAAATTTGTGTTCAGATAGTACACATGATGGGATATTACATTTAAAACGTTCATGTTTGAGGGAATGGAGTTTGAGATTATCAATTTTGAAGAACCGTCGACCACAAGTCTCACAGCAGTGTAACCTGTTGCGTAGTTTTGGTTCTTTAACTTTGACCTGATGTCTGCGGAGGCCCCATGCTGTGTTGAATTGTCGATCACAATGATCACAATACAGTGGTTGTTCTAATCTTGGATGATTTTGATGAGCCTCGACCACATGTCTCTGCAAGTGCTGTCGCCTATGATAACTGCGATCACATTGAGTGCATTTGAATTCTTTAATGCCTTGATGTCGTTGAATATGAATTCGTAAACGATATGGACGACTGAATGTAGAAGTGCAATCTTCATATGGACATGGATGTTTGGCCATGATTTGATTAATCTTTATAAATGTTAAATTATCGTTTAGAATAAAAAAGCAAGTCCAATCATTGGTAAAAACTAATTAAACTAATCAATTATTTATTCTAAGGACCTAAATTGAATATATTTATAACTTGTTTTACACATGACTATAGCTGAAATCAATAATCATTGTAATTTAAACCATGATTTAATTGAATAAAACTTATCAAGTAAATACCTACAAACTACGATTTAGTATTAACAATATCAAAATATAATAATTTGTAATCAATATTGCTAAGTATATAGAGTACTTGATACTTCAATTGCAATCGGAAATCACAGACTAAGACAAAATGGATTATAGACTATACAAACTGAAAAATTGAAAACATCAAAACGAGTAATACGATTAGAAAAAAAACAAGAGACTCACGACTATATCAGTATATCACTCGTTGTCGTTACCCCAACATGCTTTGTACGCATGCGTACAATATTATCATGCCAGATGTACGGTTTATATTGTACGTATACGGTTTTTATGTGCCATGCACGGTGTATACGGAACATAATTTAAAACCCTACATGAATTTACGGTCTTTTAAGTGGAAAATATTTAAATTTCAAATATATATTATAATAATCATATAAATATAATATAGGCTGGACACTGACAAGTTAAAAAGTTAAAGTTACTTTTAACTAAATTACTTAATGAATTACTTTTTTTTTTTAAAGTAACTTTTAACTTAACTAGTTAATTTATGTAAATACTACATAAATATTTTAAAAATAATAAAATTTCCATTATATTGTGCAATTTGTTAAGCTTGAATAATTAATTTTACAAAAGTATAGGTAATTTAATTTTAAGTAAGTTAAGTTACTTATTTTCAAATTAACTTTTAACGAGTTAAAAATAAAAAAAAGTAAATACTGCTTGGCGCTTACTTTCACAATAATTATTATTAATTATTGAAAAATATTTATTTTTTTCAATATAAATGTCAACTATCAAAAAAATATGGATAAGACTGCGCATGAGTAAACGCATATTGAAGTAAAGAGTGATGTAACATTGTAGCCGCGAATCTCTACTCTTTTATGAAAAAAACGATTCGACGGGAAACTTTACTTTATAACTTAATATTTATCAGTTATCACTAGCCGGCAGCCGCTCAAGAAGACTTATGAGAGGGGGGAAGAATAAATAAAGACTACCGACTACCATGATTTTGAGAAATGTCAGATTTCCACACTCGAACATCCTTATAAAGTGTTTCACAATGAACTGTCAATTGCAATAACTTTTATTGTATTGAATATTTTCAAACAATTTTTTTTTTTAATTGTTAGTTGTCGTTTGCGCTATATTTAAAATATTTTTCGATTTTTTCCATAATCAAATTTTTTATAAGATCTTCAATCTTGTGCGGTATCTACTAAGTTTAAATAGTTAAATAATATACTTATCTCCATTGCTTTAATTTATCCCCCCCCCCCCCCCCCGGAGACAATTCATTTTGCAAACTATTTTTCATCAATCAATTCAAATTTCATAGTCGACGAAAAAATTAATTCAAAATACCTAGTTTGGAGTGGTCGACTGTCGTTTTGGTAACCACGTGGCATTGTGGCAATGCTCTCCACAATTTTGTTAATGCCAAAAAATATTCAATATTGGTACCATCGGGTCCAATTTATTGGCCAACTTCTCGTGTAAAAAACAGAAATTCTTTATATTTGTATTGCTTAAGTACAAAGTAATATTTACTGCACTCAGGAAAATATACTAGACTTTAACTCTGATCATTCATCAGTTCTTTTTACAGTCAATGCCTTCCAACAATTCACTACCTATGGACAGGGATAAAAATATGAAATAACTTATGAATTTGTCAGTAAAAACTAAAAATAGTGTTAATAAAATTATTATTGTTTTAAAATTCTGAAATTTATATGAAAAGATAGTTTTTATTGATTTATTAATTTTATAAATTCTTTTGTAAGTAAAAATTATTTTACATAATTTCAATAGAAAATATATTGAATTAAAATAATCAGAATAATAATTTTACAAGTATCTAAACTTAGTAGTATATATTTGGTGCAACTAAAAAAATGTTTGAGTACTATTTGAATAAATTTTCCAAATATTTTATAAGTAAATGATGAAGTGGCTAAGCTGTTTCCTAAAAGACTCAAATCTACCCATATAAAGTAAGTGCTTCATTTAATATTAATGTCTAATATTTAGAAAATTAAAACAATGATTTGAACTTAATTGTAATGATTTAAATGATTGGGATATTAAATAATAAATAGAGAATACATCTTTTTAGATTAAGTATATTACATAAGTAGGTAATGTTTATAATAAAAAAAAAAAAAAAAAATAATAAAAAAATATATTTATGTACATAATTAAGCTAGTGGCAAGTCAAATTTAATTTACACATTTAATAAAATTATCTTAACTAAATTATTTAGTAATATTAACATAACAACTTAATAAAAGACAATTAACAATTACATTCTTGAAAATAGTTTTAAGTTCAAAATATCATATGAAATAATAATTTATTATATTGGAAATTTTATAAATAAATATTAAAGTATTTCTACATTTATTTAAAAAATGAGAATAGTACATGGTTTAAAATAATAGGTTTTTTAAGTAATACATAATATAAGTCTTATAAATACACTTAAGAATAGATAAATAAAATGAATTATTAATGTAACATCATAACATTTAAATTCCAGAAGGATTTTAAGAGTAAATTGGTCAATGGTTTCTTTTTTTTTTTAATTTTTCTAATTTTTTTCTAGCTTCAAATACTCTTAATTTTCTTTCAAAGATCTATAAAAAAAATATATATATAATTGAAATATAATTAACTATTTTAATTAGTTACTAATATACACTCACTTTGTTTTTAAGATTTGCAATAGTTTTTGATTTAGATTCAATTATTGTTTTAGTTTTGAACAAATCCTGATGTTTTATCAACTGTTGGCAGACAGAACACATTTCAACATCTTCTGAACGAGCCTCAAAATAACCAATACAATTTTCATGGGTAAATCCATCATTACCAGAACATTTTTCAAAGTTATCAATTTTTTCTAAAAGTGTTTCTAATTCAATTTTTGTTTTAATAGGTGTATAATATTCATATTTCTTGCCATACATTTGTATAGTTGGCGTTAAGCTATTAGTAAAATTAATTTTTTTCACAGTTTCATTAAAATCATCTCGTTGAATAAAAATTGTAGAATTTCGTCTAGTGTCATGTATACTCGACCAAAATACACTTGGAAGCGTAAGACTTTTAGAAACTTCATGAATAAATCCGTTATCCATCTCTTCTATTTCAATTCTAGTTATACCAACATTAGAACTTGAGGTTTTTGCGATATGATTTGAATTAGAATCATTTGGAATTGGCTCACAATTAAATGGATTCCTTATTTCAGGAAGTATAGGTAAATTATGTATAATTGGAGGAGAGATAATTTGCATTATTTGATTGCATTTTGGATGAACTTCAGTATTGGGAGACAATTGATTGAGATTGTTTAAGGTTGAAATTGGTTCCTGATTATATTGTGTTGAACTATGTAGCGATATATTATACATAGAATTACTAGAAGTGGATGGACAATTAGATATTAGAGTAATAGGCAGAGAACTATTATGTGTAACTAAAGAAAGGTTATGGTCAGATCTTGATTGTAATGTAATTGACTTGGGCTTTATACCAGAAGTTTTGACTGGTGGTTTTATTACTTTAGTATTTTTACCTTTATCCAAAGAAATACTCAAAGATTTACTAACTTTTATGTCCTTTAGCCGTTCACTGAGATTAATATGGAATGAAGAATCATCAATTGAAGTTAGCGGAGAAAGTAAATCATCGTGATATTCAACTGGTTCAGGTTTTATTATTGATTCTGTAGTAGGAATATTAATTGTTGGGTATATAATATTTTGTTCATTTTGTATCAAGTTTGATTGTAAATTATTGTACATAGAATTATGAGTTTCAGTAATTTGTTCAAAATTTGTTTGTAATGAATCAGACATATTATCATCATTTGGTTCAATTTTTACTATTGATAAATCAACAGTTTTTGCAGGTTTTACAATATTAGTCTGAGACATATTAGACACATTGATGGGATATGTTTTTCTTACACTTGGTTCAATATTAGAAGCATAATCTGAAGTTGTTGGACACATATACACATTAGGCCCATTATTAGTTAGTGCTTGTTTTAATATTGGCTTATTATTATAAGAAAAAATCAATTCTTTATTATCATCAATTGCTGAGATCTGTTTACTCATAATCTGCTCATTATTAGATGGAAATGATATAGATAGAGAACTATTGGCTAAAATTTTTGGAAGTACTTCTTTGAAGCTTGAATTGGAGGTATTTGATTCTAATGTTGGATTTAAATCATTACTTGAAGCATATTCATGAGTGTAATTTGTGGTAGGTATATAAATATTATTTTCATTTTCAGAAATATAAATTGCCTCAGTGGTAGTATTTGATTCATCTATAAAAAATATTTAAATATAAAAGATAAAATTATATAAACAATTATTATTCATTTTTAATTTTTAATTATAAAAATAACTTAAATAGTTTATAATATTAATTCTAATTAATTTTAGTAAGAATATTTTACATACTCATTAAACTTTTTCTTGGTTTTTTTGCAGGCAAATGTTTTTCATTTTTATTAGCTCTTAATCTTTTGTATCTACCTTCATATGTTTTCAATACTGGCACATCGTTAGTTTTTATTAATTTAGTAGTAGTTGCTGACTGCATGGCATTAACATTAATTGGTAGTGGCAAAGCATTAGCAGTTAATGTTTTTATTACTTGATCAACTCCACAGATATTTAAAGTGGAAGAACATATGTCTTGGGGTCTGAAATGATTTCCACACACAATACTGTTTTCAGTTATTTGCATACCTAATACTGAACTCCAATCATTTACAGATTCCTATATATATAAAAAAAAAAATAATAAAAAAAATACAATGAATGAGGATTAAAAATTATTTCAAAATAATATTTATAAATGATTATAAAAATTACATCCGGTGGTTTAAAAAGGGATACATAAACATCGTTAGAGTTTATTGTATCTTCATTAGAATTAGTCGAACATCCTGGTATACAACACTCAAAATTGTTGCTATCCTAAATAAATAAAATAAAAATTAATTAGATTAATTTATAAATAAATACAATGTATTCATTAATCTAAAATAATTAAAACTAATTCTTTTTCAAATTGAAGCTTAATAATAGTTCAACTTTTTGTTCATAAATGTTGTGAACAATCACTATGCCAGGTAAAAAAACTTGAAAAGTTGTACACAACATTTGTTGTATGTTGCTTCTTTAACAATATAAATCTCAAAATAAAAATAAATTAAATATACACATGCACATTTTTTTTTTTTTAAATAGATATTTGATGATTGATAAAATTGTACATTAAAATTAAACATAATAGGAAGTCGCTATGTTATAGTTGTTGAATGTACATTGTCATTGAGTAGGTCAATGTAATATGTTAAATTTGTATTCAATGATAAATCATTGCATACAAAAAATATTTTTGAATGTAGATTGATTTGATGTTGGACTATATTAATAATCTTAAACTACAACACAATTTGCAAATTCTTGTGTCAAAATTTAATTTAAAATGCTAAAAAAAAAAAATTGTAGTAAAATAGTTTTAATAATTTTAAATAGCTATAATAACAACTTATGGAGGGTTTGTTTTGTATTAAATTAAGTATACCTAGGTATATATGTAAAAAAAAACATTGTAAGATTAATATATTCATTGCTCTGTTCAGAATCATAATATTAAAAATCTAATATGGAACAGATTGTTAACAATTTAAGTTGTTTCTATTGTAATTATTTTTAATTTTAAATAAAAAACAAAAATGAAATATTTTTGATAAGACAATTTTTTTTTATTGCAATGCAGTAACAATAGCAAGATAAAATACAACTAAGGATGAAGTAGCTCAAGACATAAAAAAATATGTATTTTTTTATACTTTAATAAAATATTATTAATTTATAATTAATTAAACTTAAATTACCTTATTTAATATATCAGGTGTGTCCATCATATATGTTAAAGGTTTGTCAGTTTCTTCATTTGTACTATAATTTGAAGATGAACAAGATGGTTTATCTACAAAAGTAAACCCATTATTGACATATGAACTTGTTGATGGAATATTTCTTTCATCTATTATATCTGTTAAATTATAAATCATATTTTAAAAATTGAACTAAACTAATATTTATTTACATTTTTTATAATTAAAGCCGGATGAAGTGGCCAAAGACCCAAAATAATTATATTAATAAATATTTAATAAAAGGCACCAAAAAATTAAAAGTTCTCTTTTTATATATTTTTTTAGTTATTGACATACATTGATATCTGAAAATATGGACTACACATTTAAATATAAAAAAAAAAATTGATTATGGTATGTTAATTGGTTTAAGCACTAAGGACTAATATATACTACACTTTTTTAATTAAAAGTGAGATATTTTTTTAATTTTTAGGATTAGACATTTATATAAAGTAAAACTAAACGGTAGGGAGTAATTGTATTTTTATTAGGTACAAATAACTTGTAAAAACCTTGAAAGTCAACTAATAACCAACCAACTCGTATCTTTTTACCTTATGCTATTAATATCTAAGAAAAAAAATCAGCTACTAAAGCTTTTAGTTATACACATATAGAGAATATACTAAAAAAAATCAAATAATATTTTTACTGTGTTAAGTTTAGTATCTTGTTGGTCCCACAAATCAAACCATTTATTATTGGTGATTTTATTTTTGTTTTGTTTTTTATGTCCTCATAAATTGGCCTTTTTATATAAATTATTTTCATATTTTTTTCTCCATTTTTTGACTGTTGATCAGCTGTTTTATTTTTTTAATATCCATATATCCAGGGACTCACATTTATAATAATGTTTCATACACTATTGTTGCTTAAATTTTAAATTTTTCATTGATGATAAAATTTAAACTTTATTACTTTTTTTTTTTTTCATGGATATTGCTTAAGATATACATGATGAGGATTGTTTAAAAATATTTGTTATTTATAATGTCATAATTTTATTTTCAATAAACTGCTCTATTTGATATTTTTTTTCTTTAACTATAATATTATATGTAAAATAGTAATAATATAAAAATCAGTTGTTGAATTTTATAGCATTCAAGTGCTTAGTACCTAGAGCTATTTTGCTTTCATTCTAAGTAATAGAATTGCTCCGTAGCCCCCTTGCCTTATACCAGTTGATGTATGTTTGATCAACAAAGAATATCCTTTATAAGTTATGATAAAAAATAGAAAACATAAAATTTAAAATATATTAATTGATATAACTATATACAATAGATATTATACATAATTTTAATTTAACTATCTCATGGAAGAAACTAAAATACAGCCAAACAGACGATAGTTCAAAATAAACCTTATATTCCTATATATATTTATCACACCTAGTAGTTTTTTTTTAGATTATATTATATTATTTAATATTAATAATTAATTACTAATTTTATGAATATTTTTCTTTTCCTATTTCAAAAAGTTACTTGATTTACTGTTAAATTAAACAATATTGATTATCTTACATTTTTAGCATTAAGTTTATTTATGATTTTAAAAAAAACTTACATTTTTTTACTATTATAAAATATACTCTGTTCACTAAAAGAAGGAACCTTGATAATGACCAGTTTTTGTTGGTGATAGTCAGGCAAAGTTTGTTAAAATGTCTTTTTACATATAAAAACATAACAAGTTAAGAATTTAATTCACTTCTTATTATTAAAAGAAAAGTATTAAAGATTATTACATTTTGTAACTATAACATAATAAAACCTTATACCTAAACTCTTACCTTAACTTGATACCAAAACCACATTATAAGAATGCTAATGAATACAAAATAAAATAACAAATCATTCATATATTTCTTACCATTATCTAAAAACAATGTTGGAACAGCATCAGATTTTAATCTGTTCCTTTTTTCTGAATTCAAGAAACAATCTTCATCAAAATGTTGACGGCATACTTTTAAACTACTTTTCAGTTTTGAAGTAGGATCTACACCTTTTAATCCACATTTTTCAAACCATTTTTTTCTTATTTCCAAATCACTAGGGTATCCAAAGAAACTAAGATATTTTGAATACCTGTTGTTACAACTTTTAATAGAACAGCGTATTCCATTTCCCAAACTGTGATCCTTTAAAATTTAAATATGATATTCAATAAAAAAAATAAAAATATATTAGGTAATAAATATTAAAATAGTTTAGATTTATTGACAATTATTAAAAACAAATTAAATATAATATAAAATAAACGCATATTTTTAAGTGATTACATTTAATTGTCTTATTAACCATACTAACATCTAGTAGAGAAAATAAGTTTTTCAAAATTGTGTTGTTTGGTGAACAATTATTATTTTCTTTATTACAAATAGAAAATAAAATACTTAGTCCAAAATCAAAAATTCAATGATATTTATTGAATGTTGGGTCTTTTTTTTATTTTAATTGATATATTTTTACTTTTTATAAATTAAAGTAATTTCTTATTTTGTTTAATACACATCCTAGATGGTTCTACTTATTACTGCTATTTGTAATATTTTCTTATTGTTAATATTTTATATTGAATATTTACAGCTACTGTTCCATTTATAAAAAAAAAAAATAAATAATTGTTTAGTTATATATGTTTTGTAACAATTAGCTTGGTCCTATTCTTACTTTAATCCCTCTAGAAATTTTTGTTATTTTGTTTACTTGTCATGACAAATTTAATAAAATAATTTGACATGCTTGTCAGTGTCTGGCAGACAATAATATATAATTATAACAATATTTTCAATTTACACAAATATAATATTACTGTTATAAATTGTTGTCAACCAACATCGATAGCAGTTGTTGTCTATCAATAAAAATTGAATAGAGTGAATATTCTATTTATGGACACCTCTCAATAATGGACTCTTTCCGACAGTGGATATTTTTAAATTTCCCAGTAAAAATTTATGAATATAATAGGAATTATAACCTCTTAATAGTGGACACTCTTAATTATGGATGTGGACACTAAAAACTAGTACCAAAATCAAAAGTTACCTTTCATAAATGGACACAATACATGTACAATATACCAAATATTTTTAAGTAATAAAAATATTAGATATATTATACATTATGTTTGTATTTTATCTTATTTTAAAGGTTTTCCTATTCAAAAATGACAAATGGTTTGGTTATGTATTAAGTCACCAGTTGTATGCTGCACATTGTGTAAATACATAGACATTTTTATAAACATTTTTATACCCACTTTTTAATACATACATATTATATATATTAAGTATATGTATAACCTAACCTAGCATTTTCCTATAATGAACATTTTTTAATTTCCCATGGCTGTTCATTATACAGAGGTTTTACTGTATAAACACTATAATATTTTCATATATTATGTTCTTTTGGCGCGAGGCGGTGATATCCAACTTGAAGGGAACACAGAAGTTCATCATACAAATTAAGCTCATTGAAGTGAATGGTAATTACGTGGAGAAATAGTTAATTAAACTTTCCAACGATATATCAAATTTTATAAATAAATGTCATTTTCTGTGAAGATTTTGGCAATCTTTTTTAAATACACGCCTAGTAACTTCATGCTGATGCACTCATACTAGTATCTTACAGCTTTATAGAGATTTTCAGTAATTACCAATTTGTCAAGATCTTGAGGTCAAACAAACCACCTGTCTCTCTTAACTCATAATATAGGCCTTTTAGTATTTTAATATTATTCTTCAAAATGTTTAAAAAACTAATTTCAAACTTTCAGTTTCTGTTAAACTTAGTACTCGACTTAGTATTAACAAAATATTTCTGGTGGGATTATAGAATAACATCATAAAATCTGGTAACTTATCTAAATAATTTATAAAAACTAAGACACATAGTTTAAGGCGTTGGGAAAATGGCGTCCCTATCGCCCAGTGCCCTTCATTAGGTACTGCAATTGCCCTACTCTGATCTCAAGTGATTGGAGTGGTCTGGCCCTCCAGGTTGGGGGTTGAGCATCGGGTTAACAACCCAACCTTGTGAAAAACTTCTGTTCAGGAATCGAACAAGCCTCGGACTAGATTGGGAAAAAAGACTGGAAATTGGATATCAGAATTAAAAGGTGGTACCTGGAATATACGAACACTATACAAACCTGGAGCAACTGTGGAATTAGTAGGAAAGATAGAGAAATATAGAATGAAATGCGTAGCATTACAAGAGGTTAGATTAGAGGATGCGGGTACAACAAAGATATCACAAACAACAATCATAAATGGAAAGAGTGAACGAGGTCACAAACTAGTGACTGGTTTTGCCATACATGAGTCGATCATACATATGATTAAAGAGTTCAAAGATGTAAATCCGAGAATCTCAACATTAACCCTCAAGGATAAAAATCTTCACATTGTATTAATCAACGTACATGCGCTGATGGAGGAAAAATATGAGGAAATAAAAGAAGAGTTCTATGATACATTAGAGGAGGTATTTAATACTACAGTGGGAAATATTAAAACTGTACTGGACGATCTAAATGCTAAAATAGGAAAAGAAAGGATATACCATAACGTGGCAGGAATGCATAGCCTCCACGAGTACTCGAACGATAATGGCTCTAGACTAGCAAATTTTGCATCAGGAAAAGGTTTTATAATCAAGAGTACAAAGCTCCCACGCAAAGATATATATAAATATACTTGGGTGTCTCCGGATGGGAGACACAAGAACTAGATTGATCATGTACTGATTAACAACAGGTTCAAAAATAGTATAACTAATGTAAGGACATTAAGAGAAGCCGACGCAGACTCCGATAATTTTCTAGTAGGTATTTGGATAAGAGTTAAATTCAAGAGATGATACAGACACAAATTAAATACTATAGATAAATATGATATTGAGAAATTAGAGGAAGTTAATATACAGAAAGATTATGGCAGAAAAATCTGCGAAACTCTCAAAGTACAACAAATAACAAATACAGACAATGTGAATAACGTATGGATCAAAATTAGAAACACTGTACAACAGACAGCAAAAACAACAATAGGAATAATGGAAAAGAGAAAAAAACCCTGGTTTAACCAAATATGCGAAGACGCAGTACAGAGGAGAAAGATAGCCCGGGAGGAATGGATGAAGGACACTAACAACGAAGAGAGGACTTCAGTAGACGAAGGAAAGAAGCTTACAATATAATAAGATGCGAAAAAAGAAAATATATCCAAAACATTATGAAAGATGCTGAACAAGACTTTAGGCTAAATAGAACCTGGGATATGTACAAGAGAATAAAGGGCATAAAAGGAGATTTTAAAAAGAAAGAACGTTTTCTCAAAGATGATGATGGAATGTTAATAACTACAGAAAAAGAAATAGCTGAGAAATGGATAAAGTATTTCAACGGACTATTAAACTGTGAGGAACCAACCGAAAAGTTTCCCTTTAATATTGAGAACATAAATACACAAGAATGTCCGTACCCTACATTAGAGGAAATAAAAGCACAAGTGCATAGATTAAAAAATCACAAATCCCCGAGGGAAGATTGTATTCAAGCGAAACTCTTAAAAAAGGGAGGAGAAGATGTTATACGGTGGATCTGGAAAGTGATTAGTAAAGTATGGACAATAGAGAAACTTCCAGATGATTGGAAAGTGGCGGTAGTATGCCCAATTCACAAAAAAGGAGACAAACAAGACTGCAACAACTACCGTGGAATATCCTTGCTTAATGTAGTGTATAAAATATTCTCGAATTGTGTTTTAGACAGGATAAAAGAAAAAACGGATCAAATAATAGGACATCATCAAGGAGGATTTAGAACTGACAGATCCACGACAAACCAGATATTCATAATTAGGTGATTGTATCAAAAATCTTGGGAGTTTAATAAAGAGATTCACACACTTTTCGTGGACTTTAAGAAAGTGTATGATAGTATTCATAGAGAGTCTATTGAATATTATGAAAGAATTTCATTTTCCACAAAAACTGGTCAATTTAGTATCTATCAGCGTCATGGAGACCCTGATAAGAGTTCAGGTAGGAAATTTAGTAATTGACCCGACAACAGTGAACTCGGGGCTAAGACAAGGTGATTCGCTATGTCGATTCTGTTCAACGTGGTGTTGGAAAAGGTTATTAGGGAAATGAAGATTGGTTCTAACGAGGGTATTAGACTACAAGACATGTCGATAAGCTTACTTGCTTATGCTGATGATATTAGTATTGATGGAAGAGTCTCAGGATAGATTGAAGATTTTATTCAGTAGACTGCATAAAGCAGCATCAAAAGTAGGACTATGTGTAAACAAAGAAAAAACGGAGTATATGTTTTTGAGTAGACGGGAACTACCTTTTTGTCAGTCCATAAAAATAGATCAATATGAATTTAAAAGGATAGAACAGTTTAAATACCTAGGTTCTATTTTGTCTGAAAAAAATAATGTAGCATTCGAGGTAGCAGCAAGAATCCAAGCTGGGAATAAATGCTACTATGGACTGACTAAGGTACTAAGCTCACAAGCAGTATCGCGAAGATTGAAAGAACAGTTATATACGTCCTTAATATGACCGGTAGTACTGTATGGATCAGAAACATGGCCACTCAGAAAAAAGGATGAGCAAAGATTCATGGTCTTTGAAAGAGAAGTGTTGTGGAAAACATATAGCCCGGTCAAAGATGAATTAACTGGGGAGTGGAGACGAAAAAAGAACTCAGAGCTGGAAACAGTATACAGTAGTTCAGATATAGTGGAGGGCATCAGAAGCAGAAGACTACAGTGGGCTGGCCATGCTTGGAAGAGCCAAAATCTACTATTACATGCAGTGATCGAACAAAACCCTGTAGGTAAAAACCTCTGGGAAGATCAAGAATGCGATGTGAAGATAGTATAAAGAAGGACGTTGAACATTTAGGTGGTACTTCTAATTGGAGAGATCTGGCATTGGATAGAGAAGGATGGAAGCTTGGTTGTGAGACGGGATGGTCTTAAAGGCCCAGTAAACCCCCCCCCCAAAAGACACATAGTTGCTTTGGAGAAACCTTAAAAGAGGATAATAATGTCTCCACCATAGTCCATAATTTTGCTTAGTTGTAGCTCAATTTTTTTAAAGAATAATAACTAGGGCTCAGAAGTTGATGACCTTAAAAACAATAAAAAATGACCATAAAATTGGCAAAAAATGTCCTAAAAAAATTACAAATATTAGTTTTATATTAATAAAAATACATTTTTTAAAAATATTTTACTCTATGTTACTATAAAATTTAAAATATGACAAAAATGTCCTTAAGATAGGAAAATTAAAAAATAAAAATATTTGTTTTATAAATGTCTGTGGTTTAAGTTATCGGCATAATGGTCAACAAGAAATGATAAGAAATGAACTGGTGTGAAATCAATAAAAATAACTAAAATTGTGGGGAAATGACCTAAAAATCTCAAAAAATGACTTAAAAAGTAAAAAACACCAAAAAATGCAAAATAAAAATTAGTTATTTAGATTCACTTGCTAACGAAACAGATTTGTGGCCAGGAGAGCATCGTCTAAAAAGTTCCAAAAAAAAAATGCAAAATGCATCAACTTCCAAGCCTTAATAATAACTAATAGAATCTAACAGTTAATCAAAAACATACTTTTCAAATAATAAGCTGGGCTAAAAGAGAAGCATTAATTTTGGAGTAAGTATTGAACTTGATTTCATACATAGAATCTAAATTTCATTAATACCTTAAAGTTGAAACTTTCTTTTTAGATCTATAATCTGCGAGATAATCTGCCTATGATATCATATTGTGAGGACTATTCTAAAATGATGTCAAGTCATTTTATGCAGAGAATTTATTAACAATATGTTCATAAACAGGAAGTTAACAGTTAGTCTAAACTCTAAACCAATAAAAAGTAAATACATGGAGAGCAACATTCAAAGATAGTCAACTGTAAGATTTGAAACTAGTAAAATTATTTTTCAACCTATATGTACATAATATGCTGGAAATGACATCATCTGTTATAAAATTAAACAGCTAATAAATATTACATATTTTGTCCGATTTGTTCATAAAAATTTTAATAAACTTGATTATTTAAAACTAATTAATAATTTAAAAAATACTTTAAAGTTACCATATATTACTTAGATTACTTTTATACTATGTATAGAACATAATTTTTTTGAATAATTTTTATGGGAAAAATCTTATCACTTCTCATGGTCAATCACTAGTTTAAACATACTGTTTTTTTTATGATTGAAATATGATACACAAAGGTCAGCAATCTATGATGTACTTTTATAAAGTAAAAATTAATGTTTAAGCTAAATATTATAAATCGAAAGTTATCAAACAAATTAATGACGAATATGATTGTTAATAATAGTCATCATAAACATAGAGAAAATAATATTAAAATAAATGCAGACAGTCAATAATGTAATTTATTAAAACAATATTGGGTACTGGTTTGTTTTAGCTCCGCCATCTATATAACAAAAATACATCATATAAATATAAAATAATGAGTTTATTTAATATTATTTTTAGATTGGAGAAATTTAGTTCAGGCATTTATAACTGACACTTGTTTTAATAAATCTTTAAAATGCATTTTAAACACGAACAAATATGTACTGTGATGTTTGATTGATATATATTATATTGATCCATATTGTGTGATAAATATCTATAATAGGAACTTTATAATAATGGTATATTTGTTTCTGTTAAATTATTAGATTATTTTTATGATGTATTTATTATTATAAATGGCAAGACTATGATATACCAGTACACAATATTGTTTTTATATTAAAAAAGTTCAATACTATAATTGGTTGCTCTAAAAGGTCAAAAACTTTAAACGTTATATTCAAAATTGAAACCGTCAATATCCTGTATAACAACTTTGTATTGTTATACAATTTACTTGACTAAACTGTAATCATAACATATAGCAACCCTAACATGGTAATAAGTAATAACTTATAATTATCATTAAACCTTAAGGTACCTATTTAATATAACTGCAACTTATTTGTACTCAAACAATATTTTACAAAATAAGCTGCTAAAGTATTGCCCTTAAAAATATTCTGAATATGTTTTAATAACTCATAAAACATTAAACTATAAGACTTTTTTTATACTATTTTTACCTTATAAGCTGGTAAAATTGGTACCGATAGATTATTTTCACTAGCTACATTGTTAGGTATGTATGTTGAAATTTTTTTTTCAAGTCTTTCGGTTTGGAGTCTTGGCATATTTTCATAACTCATATCCTCATTAGTTGTGGTAAGTTTGATTTTTCTGGATGACCGTCTCGGCGATTCAAAATTATTTACAACAGTCTCTTCAATTTGTTCCTCTCTGTAAATTTTTAAATAATTTTTAAAATATAACTTTGTTTAATAAAATTTCCATCTTACATTAAAAGATCTTGATTTATTGATAAACAATCACTATTTTCAGTTTCTTCGCCATCATTTTGAATACTAAAACATACAAACATAACGATATTGTAGAAAATAAAAAAAATTAACTATAGAGATTATGAAGCATTACTTATTAGGAAATTGATTTTCATTGTGAGTTTGATCAAGAGGTCGGGGAATAGTGTTTGGCCGTAAATGTCGCGTTTTATCAGGTTTATAGTCTGTTTTTAAAAAATGATCACTACACACACGATGCCAATCGTGACACACAGTAATTCCTAAGGTTTTAAGCCATTTTTTCCTTCTATATTCATTCTTAGGAAATCTATAGTAAAGTAAATATCAATTAATAACAATAATTGTATTGCATTTCAGAAAAAACGAATACAAACAACAGATACTCACGAATGATAAATAACCTGAGGACGTGTGTACCTGGTCTTTTGAGAATTGTTGCCGCACACTACACACTTATGCATTATTAAAATGTAGTGTTAGCCATTAAAAGTAAAGTAACAATAATGAATATAAAGTGCAACCACCAAGAACAAATAGACTAGTCAGTTATTCAACAGTCAGTCATAATATCAGTAGACAGTAATCTGTATTCTACACAATTGGAATTTAGAGAGAACTTGATCACTCTGGACTCCAACACTTCTATGCTTTTGAAGTATAGATTTTCACTTCGAAGGGTTTGTAGTTAATTAATTTATCCTTAGAGATAATTTTAAAGAAAATGTTGAGTGGTTGAGTCTGGCGAGTCCCTTTTATGAGTATAACACGCTTAATATAATCAAAAAAGCATTATACATTTTCTGTCAATAAAACCATTTATATTCACATTCACAAATTTGCTGAGATATTACTTTTAATAAAAATGAAAATTAGGATGTCGCAAAAAACTTTTTGATTATTTAACTGCACATTTTGTAAAAAAATTATCTACTACTAGTAGGATAACTCAAACGAAAAACAGCTATGACAATTAATTACACAAAAGACAGCCGGCATTGTCCGCGTTCTGCGTTTCAGGCGTTTCAGCACTCTCACTTCTCACTTCTCAGCCTGAAGCCAGTATGTAGTTGGCGTAATCCATTAGTTTATATTGTTACCACGGTCTTAGATCATTACTTTATGGTTTATACCTAGCAACCTGCGGTTCAGTGTGACCACTTTGGAAATGTTGTCAACATCTGTGTTATTTCACTATTCCAGATAATTTATCAGTGATATAAACCATTAACCACTATTGACTATTAATTCAGTATTCACTATTACTATTCAGTATTCACTATTAGTTATTACTATTCAGTATATTATATTCACTCCATATTCCATAGAATAATAACACTATTAAGTAATAACTATTAAATAAAGATGATTGAATATTGCTTAAATTTTCTTGCTAAATGCTGATGATTCGAAAATTTGAATCGGAAATTTCTTTGGTATTTAATGTTATGTTAATAATTATTAATTTTGCTCGTGATACGAGGTACAACGAAATAAAATATATATTATTATGCCAATTATAATTCATGATGACTATAGATTGGTACAGATACAGAAGTGTTCCTTAACCGGCGTTCGGCATGCCGTGGCACATAGGTGTGCCACGAATCACATTTCACGATTATTAATAAACGTTTATGTAAGATTTCAGAAATTGATTAAAATATTTTTAAAACAACTTGGAAGTTGGAAGGCGAAATAAGGGTGTGCTTCAGTAGTTAGTAGCGGCGTGAAAATGTGGAGGCTTTGAAGCATATTGTATATTTTAAATATTTTTACCACCACCCCTAATAAGTAGCAGTGGCTAAAGAGCTCTCAAACATGAAGCAATTGCTTCAAAAATCCTATATCCCGTCATCACTGTCAAAAGTTCATTACTTAATACTTATTAACCATTTGATTTATAAATCATAATGAAAGGAAAAAAGTCCCAAATTGCTCATTTAGACTAGAGTTTTTTATGAAATTGTAATGTAACTTATTTTTCCATTTCAATTAATTAAATATTTATGATAACCGTAATAATATTTTTTTCCTAAATAAACATACCATTTTAAATTGTTTGCTAGTAATATACTAATATAGTATAGGTATACTACTTTGATATTAATAATTAATATTATTATGAATGCCTATTGCCTACTATAAAATAATATGTAATAATACATATTGTAATTCAGTGATAAGTGTGCCACGGCTTAATATGGGTTGGGATTAGTGTGCCGCGAAAGAAAAAAGGTTGGGAAACGCTGCGGTACAAGATACTCTATTGGTTGTACTGCTGGAGTCTTCTATATAGATAATAGGTGACTCAGTGCCTGTCGGCTGTCGAATCTTTATGCCCAACCGTAATGATAATAATAATATTTTTTTACAGTAACTTGTGCGACGATTGGCAATTCCGTTTTATCAATTTTTTAATTTGGTCGGTGAAGGGTGTGGAAATTGGTGTTGCGTATTTTAATCTTTAGATAAGCCGAATAAATATTAAATTGTTTGCGGCTGCGCCGCTGTGGTACGATATCGATAGACGACTAGACAAGGGTACGAGACGAAAACTACAGTTAACTAGGTTTAACTGGTATTCACGAATTAAAATTCGTGGTTATAATTAAACGTGTTTTGCACTGCTGCATTAACAGTAACTATGCGTTCACCCAAACATAATGGATTGAGTGATTAATTAATATTAAACAGTGTCCAACGCGAAACAATATGGTGAGTATACGTGCGACACGTACCTATTTCATATCATGAACCATATAGTATTATGTGGGTACTATTTAAATACGTGCACCTAGACTTGCCATTAACCTTATGATTTTAATATTAATAAAATATTTAATACCTACCTACCTGATGTAACACTATTATTATCTTACACTTTTGAATTATTCTTTTATCGCGTTCGTTTTAATATGGATGAGTGTGTGTGATAAAAAGTTACACGGACACGATCGTCTGTGCGACCAGACTGCTGCGATCACATACTAGCATCTTTCAATCTCTGTAGAGGATGTGACGTGATATGTGCAATCTATTGTCTATTGTGAGAAATATTTATATGACCTTAGATATCAAAATACTATTAACGATTGACCTGTAACTTGTTTTTTGTAATGTGCATGATTTTGTGCTCCACCCGTAAATGGTAAATTTATATTTAATCAGCTTTATCGAATGGATTGTACTTTATCAAATAAATAATCATTATTTTGTATCTGTTATTTTATTATAAATTTAATAGGTACCTAATACTAAACTAACAAATAGTTATCGCTACTTGTATATTTGTAAACATATTTTTGGTATGCTGACTGTTATTAGTTTAAAATAAGGATTATTAAATTACAATTATTACTAAAAACATTATCAGTTATAATATCTAATATACATATTATACAAATGTATTATTTTAGGTGTTCTGTATAAATATTTTTTTTGTATATCTAATACTTTTATATTTTAAATTATTTTTTAGATGCATTTCATGTTGTTATTCAGTCGTCAAGGCAAGCTTCGGCTTCAAAAATGGTATGTTGCTCATCCCGACAAGGTAAAAAAGAAAATTACCAGAGAACTTATAACCACTATTTTAGCTAGAAAGCCTAAAATGTGTAGTTTCCTTGAATGGAAAGAATTAAAAATTGTTTATAAAAGGTATGTTGTTGAAAAAATACAGTGAAAATATATTATTTTAAAATTTATTTCTAGGTATGCCAGTTTGTATTTTTGTTGTGCTATTGAGCAGAATGACAATGAACTTCTTACTTTGGAAATCATTCACCGTTATGTCGAATTATTAGACAAGTATTTTGGCAGTGTAAGTTTCATAGTCCTTTTTAATTTTTATTAGCATATTCTTGATGGCAATATTACTGAAATACTTTGTTATAGGTCTGTGAACTGGATATAATATTCAACTTCGAAAAGGCATATTTTATACTGGATGAGTTATTATTGGGTGGGGAGATACAGGAGACTAGTAAGAAAAATGTACTCAAGGCTATTTCAGCTCAGGATCTCTTGCAAGAGGTTAGTTATGGAAACACTCCATTAGAACTTTAATTAATTTCATTAACTACAATTACTTTTGTCATTTGATAAAATATAGTACATATTTAATATCTGTACATAATAGGATTATAATATTATAATTAATAACGATATATCTTGCCAATTCATAAGAAAACTAATTTGCTCACATTATTTCAAAACTATTATCATTACTCTATCATAATTTGTAATTTAACTAGAATTCATTTTATTATCTGTAACTTACATGAATTACATTTCTATATAGAATACTGAAGTATTTAAAAGTTTAATATATACTTTTGAGGAGTATATATATATATTTATTAAGTTCAGTCTAGTCAGCTAAAATGATAGTCAATTTTAAAAGTGTTTCAATGTTAAATTATATACCATTTATTTAATTACCAAAATATGTTGGCCAAATTTATTATTTAGATGATTGAATCTATATTTTTTTATTAACCTGTAGAGTGCAAAATCTTGAACATTATTTTAAGTATACTTATATTGTAAAATGTATTTATTTATCCAAAGAAATTGCCTTCCATAATACCTTTATTATGCTGCTAATGATTAATATTTTTAATTTATTATAATCTGTAGAATCCTATGTCTTACCATATTTTAAAACTAAACCTATATTTTATATTGTTATAACCCAATGCTGTTATTTTAGTTATATTTTTAGCTAATTATTTTAACATACTTTATAACCTAATCATCTTAAAAGTAATGCTTGTTTATAATATATTCAATTGTTTAATCTCCTACGATTAGCAATTTAACTCTTTAAAATGTATAATTTGTGTAAACTAATTGTTTTATGGTTTATTTTTAAATTTTATTCAAATAAAATAATTACATTAATGCTATTTCTTTTTATAACAATCATGTTAATAATATCTATGCTATCTTTTCTGTTTTTACCAATATTTTAATTTTAAAGTGGCTTTTTAGTAATTACAATATAACAATTTCTTAAAACCTACAATTGTTTTAAAATTAAAATATTTAATAATATCAGGAAGAAAATATATATAATGTTAATGTTTTTAACTTTGATAATAGATAAAATAAACTCTTATAATAATAATAATAATAATAAATTATAAATTTGACTTAAATATTTAGAAATTTGTTTATCTGACAAAAATAACAAATGTGTGTAGTTTCTTATTTACAAAATCTGTGTTTTAATATTACTAATTTTTCATCAAATTACTTATTTATTTATGAAATTAAATTGGTTTTTTTCAAAATTATAATATTAATTTACATAGAACAGAATATTTCAAAAAAAATTTTAGCTTTCTTTTTAAAATATTGTTATTACAGTTGATTATGTCTCAATATTTTATATTTATTATCACAGAGTTAGATTGCTAACCATAACCAGATAGAATTATAGTTAATTTAAATGTTGCATGTTTTGTCTAATATTCATTGTAACAATTATCTAGTCCAATATTTAAATATTAATCCTTAATATTATCATACTAACATATTTTATCATTGTTCATTAGTTCGTTACAATATTAATATTAGTTATAAAAAAAAAAATACAATTTTAATATTAAATTATTCATACATTCATTTTTTACAATTCAAAAATGTTACAATAGTAATTAAGTAAACCAAAATAAATTGTTATTTATATTTTTCACTATCTCATTTTATGTTAATAATAATCAATTTTTATTTGTGATATTGTTTATTATTTTTTTTTTTTTAAGTGACTATAAATATGTTTTATCTAATACATAATAAAATAACCTTTTTTTATCATTAAAAATAAAATTATTATTATTATTATATGATTAACAATATATTTTATTTTTGGTTAATATACATTATTCAAAGATATATTTTATAGTTATATAATTTTTAAATTAAATTTCATTTTTACCATTTATGTTATAACAAAAAAAAATATGTTGAAAATTAACAATTTTTAAAATGTTTTTCTTTTGTGTTTATATCTACAATTTAGTTCCATAAATAATTTAATCAAAATAAATATATATATATATATATATAATATATTATTTAAGTACAAAGGGGTTTGTGTATTTAGTTTCTTAAGTATATTTTATTAGTCAACATTGTTTGAATTCCTTGGGTCTATTAGTAGTACAATGGGTTATGTTTTGTTTTGTTTTGTTTTTTTTTTTTTTTTGATTGATTGATCAATATAAATAAATATATTTAGTAAACTTTTATTTTATTTTTGTAGCTTTAATTTTGAAAAAAAAATTAAATAGCTATCCATATTACCTTACTTGATTTCTGTCATAAATATATTACCTGCATGTTTATCTTTTATTAAATGCTTTTCAATTTCAATTTTTCAATTTTGGGATATTAATATTAATGTGTTTGTATGTAGGAGGAGGCAGTCGAAGGCGCTCTGAAAGAGATTGGCCTGTTATGAAAGTATCCAATATAATTAACATTTCGTATAATTTTATTACTTGCAATTATAATTGTAATGTTTTTTTTACATAATATATTTATATAAATTCAAACAATGTGTCTTTCAAAAAATATTAGTATTGGATTTGATGTAAAGAGCCTTTGCTGAGTGCAATGTTATTAATAAATAACTTATCAAAATATCAGGTTTTTACTATTGACATCCTAACATAATATTTAAAAAAATAAGTTTAACAAATAGCTATCTTTTATTATCTGTAAACATTCGTGTATACTATTAGTTTTTTTTTTTAATTCTAATAAATTTTTGTTTTATATTGTTGCATTTTCTCATAAAATAAACCTCTATTAATGTATTAACTAACATAATATTGAAAAAATAAAAATAAATTTTCATGCTTAAGCTGTATGCGCTTTTTACTGACTCGGTTTTAATTGATACTAGTTATTTTTTTACCAAACAGGTGTGTTCAACCATAACATGGATGTTATGTTTGTTGAAAGGTTTGAGGGTTAATTGTTTTTTTTTAACAGTTCTGTTCTTATTTTAATATAGTTATTTAAATTTATGTTAATACAATAAATGTGGCGTTTCAAGAAATGTCAGCAAACATTTTGGTGCTACGGTATGTTTATAAGAGCACACAGTGTTTATATATTAAAACTATTGCCCTATCCATTACCTCTTCAGTTATTTACTAATAATTGTCTTATTTATAAAACCCTTTTCTATATATTTTATTTTTACACCCGGTTTTATCTAACTTTATTTGTTATGTGTTTCACTTTATAATTATTTATTACTTTATTTTTCAGGAAGAAACACCTCAAACCTTTTTTGAAGACCATGGCCTCGGTTAACAAATGTCGATCAAACGCATTCCATAGACATTCCAAACTAATTGATAAATAAATATAACAAAAATTTAATAAGTATTAGTTACAATTTATTATACTTACACATAATTATTATTATCACTTTTTATTATTATATGTATACAACTATAGGTGACAGTGTTACATGTCCGTCCAATTTTATTACAATTTATTTTGTGTCTATAGGCAATAAAAATAAAAAAATTAACTTTTTTTTTCGTTTTATGCTCCTCTATATTACATACAGTATTATTCGTCTAAAAATAACATTTGTCTGATTAGAACGTGTGCCAAGCAACAATTCTCAGTGGCTGCTGTATTGTATGTTTGTGTAGTGTGTACAAAAACTATACGACAAATGTGTTTGTTACATTTCAACGAATAGTACTGTTAAAAATATGGTTCACATTATAACGGTATCGTGTAGCTTGACGTTGATTTACGATTGTGTCCAGTTGTGCGTTATTTAATAATGCCATGAACAAACACCGCGATATATTTCGTAAATGTAAATTCGTATATTTTATAATTTAAATGTTTATTCATCTAAAAATGCATTGTATCATTTATAGGTATCGTAAATATAATGTACAGAATATAATATTATAAATTATATGTATTGTAGCGAGTTGTCGTAACAAACTCACGTCTATAGTATAGAATACCTAACTACATGATGATTATTATATAATAATATATTGGTAGAGATATCTTTAAAATCTAATGGTCACTACAATATTGTATTGTTTTGTATCTTATATCTAAAACGATACATCTATTTATATATATCTATCTCTATATGACAAATTTTAATAACAATAATAATTAAAAAAAAAAAAAAAACATTTCACTTTTAATTTTACGAAATTAGTAACTTTTTTTTGGATATGCTTATATTACTATATTAGGTATATAATAATATTTATAAATTACAATAACTTATGATAATCTAATAGTATATTTGATAAATAGGATATAAATCAATTTGGTATTATAATATGTATGGCGGGACATGATATATATTAGTATAATAATTATTAATTATTACAGTTGGTCAGAGCAAATCTCAAAAATTTAATATTATTTACCGATGTGCGTACTTCGGGTGTTTAATGTTTATTTTAATAACTTTTAAATAGGATGTGTTTCGACAGTCTGCGAGAGTGGCGTGCAGTGCCGAGGCGGAAATAAATCGCTCGTAGTACACACTGACCTGTCGGCATATAGGTACCTACTTAACGTTTGCGTCGAGTGTGTAAAAATAGCGAACGGTAAATGGCAAACGGAAAACGTTGTCGTGTATGGATTTTGTTGCCAGATATTAAAATTAAAATTTGGTTCACGCGCATGCCATTCCTCCAGTCATTTATTTTAGGTCAAGTACGACAACTATGATTATAATATTATTATATATATCCATTGTGCATTACTGTAGTGTAGGTACCTGTAGTATATCAAGTAGAATAAGTGCTGAGAGAAACCATCGAAACTCGTGTATACATTTATTGGGGAACGAGGAGGGAGAAGACTTAGGTTTTGTTTTTTGTTCATGACGTATAGTAACATACTAATATAAATTTAAGGGTTGGTTAGGACATATTTATGTGTAGAGGACGAGGGTGGTGAGATAACTGTAATTATAATAGTGTACGCTGCTACGTGGACGCGCTATACACCGTATAGTAATAAAAGTAACAACGATAATGACGACAATAATAATAATACGAGACCGTTAACTGCGATGTAATAAGACGAGTATAATATACATACAAGACAGATCGGCGGTCGACGGTTATTTAAACGGACCTGGCGTCCTGGCTTAACCAGCCGTGGTGGTTATAACACGCGGGTAAAATGTATGTAATTATATGTATGTAGGTATGTTTATATTTAAAAAACGCACACATTCACACACGATAATTGATTTAAATGAGAGGAAGTGTATTTAAGTACATTTTTTATTTACATTTTCGTATAGGTATATATGTTTTGTGGTGGTGCTGTGGCTGGTTAAAGAGACTACGACGATTATAGGAATATAACATTATACACTATAGTAATACTTATACCTTAACGAATAGTAACACAAACCACTTATATTTATAATTATTATATCTGCGTGTAATAATAATAATATTAATGTATATGCGCATAATGATGAGAATTGAGAATAATGCAAATAGAATATATACATCATGCAAGTTAATATAGGCGGTGGGCCGGTGGGGTAAGTGCTTACTGGTTTTTTTTTTTATTCATCTATGAATGTCCGATTTATAAATTATGCATTCAATATGCAACGTATACTGTACACAACACCTACACAAGAAATTTCAATACGTACCTATGCTAATTATTCAGAAATGTCTGTTAGAAATTTGAGAACATAATTTATTATAAATCATGTTTGAATTATCCACTCTGTCTTATAAAATACTGACTAAAATATAATATGTAATTATAGATATTATTTATATTTATTTAGGTAAGTAGGTACTACAATATATTTTAGTATAAACAGATAGTTATTAATACTAATAATGTTGTTTAATAATATTACTGCTTAATGCTTTGTCAGATAGGTAGTATAGAACTTTTATTTTATAATATCAGTTCATGTTTTTTTCTCAAAAATGTTTGTTTGATTAATTGGTTTTATTGTTAATATATTTTGAATATGAGTAAAAATTATTGGTTCAAATGGTCCATTCCTATTATTTATTTTCTGTGTATCGGGTGTCACCGAAACGAGGTCAAGTACTGGGCAGATGTAGAACAAAAAATAAACTGTAATTTTAACTATTTAATAGACGCATAGGTAATATGATATTATATACTTATATTAATTTTAATATCTCACAGTATGCTAAAGTAATAGGTTCCCGATTGATGTGATCACAAACGCGCGTTTTAACTTTCAAGCCGGCTGATTAATTTAATTTTGATTTCCCGAACTTCAAGGAAATTATATTTTTACGTCATCGTGGCAATCAGACGCAAGGAGACGGGACGATTTAACGTTTTTTTTTATCAATCCAATTATGTTCCGGACATTTCCGACGTGGATTCGAAAAAAACATTGAAAAAAAAATGCACGAATGACTCCTGAATGATATCAGCGTGGAGACACTAGATTGTTTAGTACAATATTATCTGCGTTGATTCGGGCCCTTGTTTTTTGTCAAGCATTCAAACGCCCGAGGGAGTAACACTTTATTTAATTTAAATTTCTCTTTTACACTTGTATAAAGCATCATATAAATTATAATTTTCTTTTTTGTTGATATTTTGGCAAATATGTACATCTGCGGTATTTACACACACATGTATATTGTAGATCCCGATGATTATTACACACTGTCGATCTTTATACTTAACATTATGCTTATTTTATGTGGTAATAAAACTCAATTTATTATATAGTTGTATAGTATTAATCGGTTAAGTACCTATACGCATAAAAAAGAACGTAAATAAGCAAGAACGAACATTTATCTTACAATATATAAATATACTCAAAATTTAGGAGATGGTAATTAGCGTCACTATATTAAACGTATATTATATAGCTACTAGCTAATAATAATTACTACTTTTGGCGCCGGAAGTAATCGTGTTCATCAGCGTCGCTTTCGCGGGCGGATAAAAGTATATAATATAATATAAATACCTACTCGTGGGACTGCTCTATAGGTACTGAAATTGTAAATAATCTGCAGCTGCTTTGCCGTGAAATTATTTTAATGGTTCTAAAATCCTTTTTGAATTGGAAATACAAATATAATATTATGAATGAGTTTTTATTATTTATTTTAAGGCGTTGAGCGACTCAGGAGCAGCACTGGTTCGACATTTTGGTAACGAGAGGTGTGTGAAGGTTTTCTTAGGTGATTGTCTATAAGTCTGGTAAGTCTAAAATGGGTAGGCGTGCGATTAATTGTGATAATTGACAAAATAATATATTATAATAATGTTAGTTTGTTGTTGTAAAATAATTATTTACAAATAAGACATGGGAATCCATATATTGGTTGAGTGGATACTTAATTCTATGTCCCAAATTCGAAAACCGTTTAGTCATACCACTGTTTAAAGGTAGCAGACACGTATGAATATGTTATTGAGATAAATTTTTTTTTAACGCGTATTAGCGTATTATACTCATGCATTTATATTATGATGGTAAATTGTCATCTTTAGATAGTTTTCAGTTTTCACTGTATCACACATCGACCCATGGAAAAATATTGTTCAGGAAACAACAGTACCCTTATATATAATGTTATTATTTACACGTTTTGGAAATAATATTGAAAAGGAAACGCAATGCGGATTATCGAAATCGATGTTTTTCGATGTGATGCAAATGCTATAGATTCTTATATAGTATCCGTTACGCGTAGGAGCAGCTGGTTACATGGTTGAAAAAAAAGGGTTTTATTTAAACTAGAAATTTATCTAGTCATTTTCAACGAAAAGCACAATCATTTTAATTGAATGAAAAACGCGTTGTCGATTAGTGAATGGGTGATTCATACAGGTATCTAAACATGTAAAGAATATATACCTATGCGCAGCAATAGGGACGGCTGCGTGTCATATAATATGAATCGCGATAAAAAAAAAAAAAATGTCCGCGGTAAAATAAGTCCGGTGTCCTCGTTATTCTTTATAGTGAAATAAAAAGTTATATAATATGTAAACAATGCTAAGGTCTTGTACAAAAAGAATATCAAATTAATTAAAACTGGACAAATCGACGAAAGTCGAGCAGTGTTCAACGTCCAAAGAATGTAGCTAGTTATATTATCTCTAACACAAGTCGTGCTATTACCGGTCAATATCGATAAAGCGCCGACTCTATAACGAGGTAATGGGCCGTTGATTTCGTTAGGCCTCTGCAGCTAGATGTACAAGTATAAATCATTTAATTAAAATGTAGGCATATATAGGAGCGCACAGGATTAATGTTCGCTACCTATATCGGACGTTTACTCTTGCCCGATTTCACGTACAGAACCTTTTTACTGTGGACTTTTTTTTTTTTACCGTTAAACTATTCGCCAGCCTACCGTACGATAAATGCGCTTGTGTCGTTGGTACAGTTCAGAGGATTCGCACGGGCGCACGAGATATAATAATTGTACGTAAAACAGTAACGATAATGATAATATATAGTATATGACTACGCACCGACGAACGCGTATAGTGGGACGGATGTCGTTGTGGTATCGAGCGGATGTGATGTGGTCGCGGACATGGGTTTTAACGATGTAGGCATGTACGTCTTCGAGAGGCCGGGTGGTTCAACTACGCAGCAGTTACTCCGCGGTCGTCCGCCGCGTCGTCGCGTCCGGACGTCGAGTTCCGGACGTTTTGCCGACCGATCGTGGCGAGCGGCGGCGTACCCACGCAGCCGTCGCGCGGTCACCACGACCGGTCGCAGAACTACGCGATCCGGCCGGCGGGCCGGGGGAGCGCGCGACCGACGACGACCGCGGCGTAACCGGCGAACTCGCGGCTCGACGTACCCACGACCGCGGCGCGCTCAGAGGACGGCCGTGGCGGTCAGCTGCTGGTGCTGCGCGTTGTTGTTGTTGTTGTTGTTGGCGGCGGTGGCGACGGCGGCGTGTCGGCCGTAGCCGGTGGTGCCGGCCCGGACGATCAGCTCGCGTCTGCCGGCGGACGCGACGCCCGTCACGTCGGACATCTGCGTGACCTCGGTGTTGCGCCGGACAATGGTGCCGGACCGCGGGTAGCTGACCGACGACCGGAGCGTGGCGTTGCGCGCGTGCCGGGCAGCCAGGAACGGCATGAACGTGATCATCAGGGTGCGCCGGTACTTGCGGCTCATCGCGCAGTACAGCAGGAAGTTGGACGCGGCGTTCACCACCATCAGGAAGTTGAATATGGTGTGCAGGCCGCGGTTCACGTAGTACGCGGGCGTCTTCTCCGGTGGCTCGTACACGGACGCGGTCAGCATCATCACGGCGGTGGGTGTCTGGCACACGCAGAACATGATCACCACGGCGATCAGCGTCATGGTCATTTTGTTCTCCTGCCGTTGCCTGTTCCACACCACGTTCCCCTGCGAACAGCACACGCCGGCCGGTCCGGCCGATAAACATCATACATTAGACACGATAACAGAGTGATAGGTGCCTAACGCTGCACAATAATAACCAATATTATAAGGGTCGCGGGCGTCCGCGGGCGGTTGCCCGGGGGGGGGGGGGGGGCGTCACGCGTCTATTTTAGTTAATATTTTAATATGTATTAATTGTTTATTAGGTACCTACTCGCACGGCTTAAATATATTATTGTAAAGGTAGTCTTATAATTTTGACTCTGTCCCCTCCCCCGGTTCATATTTCTGTGGGCGTCCTTGTTGCGGGTGCTCCGTGGTTTCGCGCTGCGACAACAAGTATTTCAAAATTTCGTATCGCGCTAAGTCTAGAATTTAATCCGCAACGAGTACCGCCGCGTATAGGTACGGGGCGCGGCGTTTTAAACGAAGAACTCTAAAGCCTAAAGCTAATGTTATGATCATTATAATGATTCCTCTGTGTATTTTACTATTACATTGTATTGGATCTATGACTATACTTACGACTTTGATGTTTAAGTCTTTTAAACGTCGGTACCGAGACGAAGTAAGTAGGCGTTGTAGTTACATTATCGTAATAATGTGATATACGTATATATATATAGGTAAGTATTGCAATTTACAGTGATTCATACTTCATAATATCTTATTGGTAGGTATAGTTATATATATATATATATATGATGTCTTATCGACATAAAAGGGGAGGACTTATATTATAGCTTACATTGATTTAAAAAAAATTAATATATATATTTTTTTTTATTTCATAAAAGAAAAGAATATTTACAATCGGATTGATAATATTATAATTTATAAGTAAATTTTATGAAGGTGGTATTGATATGAAAACTTGGAAAAAGGAAGTATCCAGTGACACCACTTCAGTACTCATGGCTTAGCATTTGATTAATTATTTAATAGATCTCTTGGCCAGTGACGTATTAAACGGCGTATTGGCTAATTGGAAGTTAGAGAAAAAAAAATGAACTATTATTAATTTTTAAACATGATATTTATATTATAATATTTATAATGTTCATATATGTGGTGTGTGTATGTGTGTGAGAGAGAGAGTGAACGCGTATACCGTGTATGTGCAGGTAATTAATTTAAAATGGGAGCAACTGAAAACTGAATAAAAAAAGTTAGAAGTAGTTACTGTAGTTACTGTAATGGTTAAAAAAATTAACCCTTTCGACAGTTAGGTAGGTACTGCCTTTTTCGAATGAGTTCCTATTTTATTTATTTACTTCATACGTTTGCACTGAAATGCGCAACACAGGAGGCTAGCCTACGTAAGTTGTAGCATATATATTATGTAGTTACCTAACTGTACATTTACCATTTTTTTCCTGGTTTATATTATTTAAAAAAAAACGAATTACTTGAAGTGATTTTTTATCCACTAAAGTAAGCTTTTTTTCTTCCACTGAACTATAGATATGATCGCAATGTTATTTTTTTTACGGAAAAACAAACGTTTTTTCTTTTGTGTGAACAAGAATAATTTCCTTTTCCACCACAAAATGCAATACATACAACAAACAAGTAAATATGTTTCTTAAAAATATGTATGTATTTTAATTTCTTATATTTTTACAGCAGATAATAATATTATTTTCGTTTTTTTTAATTTCTTATATTTTTACAGCAGATAATAATATTATTTTCGTTTTTTTTAATTTTTTTTTTTATTTTATATGAAATATTTCGTGGAAATATTGAATGGAACAAATTTGAGAGCGGAAATTCATAATAAATTAACGCATGGAAATTTAATTATAATTTTAGATGAACTAAAAAAAATTGAACTGAAAATATAATAAGTAATAATATAATAAAGTATCTATATCTTAAGGCGGAAATCGAGATTATACAGTTAATCTATTGCCACTTCATCATCGCCCTTGTGTGGTCTATTTATGTCTCCTTTTTATTTTATTCGTAATAATTAAATTTGCCCTGCTTTGTTCGTATTTTATTTAAAAAAAGGTTATTTGGCTTTTGGACAATCAAAACCCGGAGTTCTTTGAATTATAGGCGTATTTGGTAAATTGTCTTTAATGTTATGATGATTAAAAATGTCGGTAAAACACCATTCACGCCGGTTATTTTGAAGAGCTTTAAAGGGATTTCCACTACACTGAAGTTTTTCATTTTTTTTTTTTTTTTGTTTATACTTAGAATTCTTTCTTGTAATCGGTTTTTATCTTCAAATTTTCTTATTTCTTTATTTTTATATTTGAAGTCATATAAAGTATATTCGAGACAGAGCTTGGTAATATTTTTTACCCTTTCCATGATTTTGTTTCCTCGAAAGTGACTAGTTTTCTCTATTCAAGTAGGTGTAGTTAATTTCATCTACTCTTTTCCGCCTTTACTCATCAAGTAAGTCTATACGTTTATTGTAATTGATATAATTTACATTACTTCATATTTCGCATTTTTTCATCCAGTAGGGACTTTAATTATGTCTATAACCTCTGAGTAGTGTCAATTACTTGGCCGTTGTGTTTATAAATTTTATAAACTTATCATAGTTATCCGGTTAGGTTTAATTCGATCGGTATTTTCTTTTGTATATTTTATATAATCAGGAGCTCAGGACCAACCCGTCTCATTTAGGAACAATTAATGATGTATCTTTGGATAGGATTATAAGACCAATTCTCACATTATTTTCATAAAGTTATATTTTTTAAATAAGTTATTTTCATAGCAGTTTATTTGGCATATATTTGTAATTTTTTAAGCAATATCATAATAATAAGTATTTTGCTTAATTACATTTTTTTTTGCTAAAAATTATAACTGACTCGAACGAGTTTATATTTTTATATGTTGTAAATTATTTCGACCGTATCGTAGCTGTATCTTAAATGTTGACGGCTGATTAATTCTATTGCTTTCGTTACTTAATTTCTTCAGAAAAACTCGACAGGTTCATAATAAAAAGCGTTGAAGTAGGTCCGTAAAGAATAATGCAGCTTTGTTGTACAAATTTATCATTCTTCTTTTATATTTATTGTAAGTATAAAATATACAGGAGATAGAGTAACTTAAGCGAGTATATAATAAGGAATATAATATAAACCCTGCGACCATCGCAGTCCTTTTCACAGTTTTACGACTCGTTAATATTTCGATAACGGGCGTGCAAGGTATATTATTTGATATTATAATATATAATAACAATTTCCCTTCGCTGCTAGCCCATCATGGGCATCATTGTTATGATGAGACCGCAGCTAACAAGTTAACTTTATCTTCACTATGACAGTGGAGGATAATGGTTTACTCAAAAATAATATGATCGCCTACGGGTTTCTAATGAATATTTTTAATTCATCAATAAAAATGTTTTCGCTACCGCGTCTCTTTATTACCGTCTACACAACGAGCTTTGCTCGCATTCTCTCTCTTTTTCAGTATTAATATATATATATATATATATTATATATGTATCTATTTTTTTTAATAATACATGTGTATAAGGTTGCCATTTCCATAATACCACAATATTTACGAAAAAAGCTTTTTTTAAATTCAAAACACCTACTACTGCGGGGTATATCTATCCATCTGACCGACTTTCGTATAATATGTGTTTGTAAAGGGGTATGGTGCATTGGCTGACAGTCTTATTTATTCCTTTTTGCATCTAACAAAATGTATACTGTTACGTATAACTTTTGTAATAGTTATTCACAATAGTATACTTATATACTTATAACTTATAAGTTATAATATTATCGAGTGTCTGTAGAGAATGTGTGTTTATACGGGATTTTAAAATGTATGTAAAAAGTATCTATGTGATGCACAGCTATAACACTAGTCGTCAAGTGTTTGATAAACATTTTAAGGTTTGTGGTTTTGGTTGAAAATTGTTAACTATAATAACGTTTAATCCAGTTAGCCGTTGAAAGCGCGTGTTTTTTCTTTTTGTTGTTTTTCTACGGATGTGAATGAAAAAAATAAAAAAAAAATAGAAAAATAAAAACGGCATACAGCTGTATTGTGTTGAAATCGCGAACTGCTAGTCAACTAGTCAACTGTAGTTAAGAATAGAAACATTATATTTTATTAATAGCTTTTTGCATTTTCATATTCAGTTTTTCGTTACGACTTTCTTTCATACATTATTATTATCATTAACATTGTAGAGGAAAAAACTACTGCACGCGTTATAATTTCTGTTTGTATAATATAATATATACTATATGCGTTATATATGATATAATATGATTAAAGTAAATATTGGTTTCAGTAATTGTATGTAGGTATTATGAATTCGAAAAATGTTATGTTTACGTTATTGTTTATACTACGATGATTGAATAATTTAAACAAAAACAAGCAAAATATTTGTTCAAAAATAAATATATATATAGTTTAAAACCATTTATTATTATTATTATTATTATAGGTATAAATTATTTATTTTATAATACAACAAACATGTCAATCACGTTTTTAACATCAATATTATTTAATAAATTTCTTTTTTTACAGCTTGAAGCAGGAATATATCTAATTATTATCTGAACGAACAGTCTGGTGCCCACTATCAGAAGTGGTCTACCAGGAAAAGTCCAAATATTCCGTCAGCATAGTCTGCCTTTGGTTATAAAGAATAAAATAAAATGTATAGGTTGTTTCGAGTTGAGAAGTAATTCCTTGAAAACATCTGTATAACTTTGAAGTTTGAACTGTTACTTTTACATGATACTATAAATTATAATATTATAATAATGTTTGATTAATACAAATTAATTTTTCAGTGTTGTGTGTATTTATATATTATTTTATATAGGTATATCTTTTATGACAAGATATTTCAGCTGCAAGAATATTTTAGGCGCTGACAAAAGCTGCCAGATATTTCTTCAGAAGTTAGATTAGCAATAATTAGAGGATTTGTATGATTTATTTATGACTTGTACGAGTGATGAGTTTGCTGTGGATTTTTTTTTACA